TGTGTGTACATTTTCTTTGAACTACTGGGAAATGTGTGGTTGTTTTTTGGCTGTATGATAAGATTTGAGCTGTAGAAGTCTATGTTGGTACGAGAGAGCAACAGTGGACTTCAATCCACCGTACATCTCCTTCTCAAAGCGTCTAACCACTTCTTTGAGGATAGAGAGGTACAGATCTTAGCCAGAGAAAATAATTGGTCTGAGAGGGGAGTTTAAGAGGCTACTTGTGTTAGGAAAGACCATTTTTGAACAGAAATGGAGAGTTCAAACATCATCTTTCTCCGATTTACAATTCCATCCTCAGATCTAAATCAAAACAGTGAAAACAACAGGGATAGCCTGTATGCTCAGAGGTTTGAAAGCACCCATCAGAATGATTCTGCTAATATGACTCAGGCAAAGTCCCCACTTAGTGCAGTTCAATAGATAAGCAGAAACTGTTAATAAGTAGGTATGTTATTTTCAGAGTAGTTTCAGTGTAGTTAGCTCCTCCCTTTAGGCAGTGTTCAACAGCCTCTGACCAGAACTGAAGAAGCAGCTTGGATGAGCTGCAAACATATTTGATCCAAAAAACTTTAGTCCAGTTGACAGAATTGAATTTCTCCTTTGCGATGGTTTCATTCTGCTGTTTATTTATTGTAGCCATGATTTTTTAACAATATTGTACATTTAGAGAACTTTTGTGGTTTAGGTTTTCTGTTGGGTTTTTGTGCCTGTGGTATAAATTAGTTTTAGTATAATTGTTTAGCGTCTATATTTACTTCAGCAATATATCAAATTTCAAATTGTATTATCGTGACAGCACTATATGCACCATCATCCAAACCATTGTACTAAAAAATGCAATTTAATGCACATGCAATGTTACACATACTGTCAATATATAGCGGAAATATATAGAGGGAAGCTAGCAAAACGTTTATTTTCCTCATTAGCGCACAGCTTTCAAGGTTGAGCTGCTATGGACACGCACAGATCTAGAATTGTGGTCCCCTCCTGCTCCATCTGTATTGAAGAATGAGCTTATTACTCATACACTGATTAATAAAGAGCCAAAATAGATAAAAGTAAATCCTATTAACACCAGGCTTTATTCTTCTAACAGCTGTGTGAACAAAGTCACTTGAAGCTGCACTTGTGTATGTCTACACTTGATTAGAAGCAGTGTGATTTCCTGGCCTTGCAGTTCTTCTCTGATCAGTGACACATGTAATTGCACTGTTTGGAATTTGTGTCTCAGCCAGTGGCAGTATTTCTGTCTTCTATTCACACTCCATTGTACTAAGCACTTAGAGCCACATAAGTCACAATTGAATGACCCGTGTTCCATCTTTTTCCATTTAATTGTAAACCCATACCTAAGCATGCTACTGTTACTGTGCAGAAATGGCTTAGTGCCTTGGCGGATGTCTGTGTTCAATAATGACAAGACATACCAAAGATTTCAGCTTTCTGAGTCCATTTCAAATGATCCCAAGCTGTATCCGTGTTTGATACCATTTGTGTTAAAGGTGCATTGTGTAACTTTTCTGGATAAGGGTCGGTCACTGTTTGTGTCCATGTTGCCATTGCTTTGCTTTGTATGTTCCACAGTATGGCATTAAACTTATCTATCTCCATGGAGACAAACAGGTGACAACACAGGATCAAGAGTTAAGTCTTAACAAATACTTAAGTAAGTATTACACAGCAGGGGGTAGAGTAGTAAATGTGTACTCAAGTAAGATTTAAAAATAATATTATTAAAATTTTAAGTAGAAGAGCAAAAATTTGACAAACTAAATAATATCTAAAGGAGTGGTGCAATAAACAAATGTTTAAATCATGTCATAGTGTTGACAGCTTTTTGTCAGCTCTTGTAGATTTACTGACAGCGGGAAGAGTAACCAAAGTTTTTACTCAAGTAAGAGTACTGCTACTTCTATATAAATATTACCCAAATAACAGTAAAGATATGCTGCTCGAAAATAACTCTAAAAAATACAATTTCATCAAAAAGTTACTGAAGTAAATAGCAAATATAAGTACTCAGCACCTCTGGTATTATAGTTCAGTTTGTGAGCTTTTGGATGTCAGCTACACGTTTTAAACTAGCATTATCACCTCTAGTGCTCCTCTGAGAGAAAGGAAAGGAAAAGTAGTCCCCATAAACTAAACACTGATCTAATATGTTAGAGCAATGTGCTTGCGATTAATTCCCATGGTGACAGCACAGAGCAGTGCATTGGTTTTGTAGGAAATCAGCTGCATGTCAGTGAGTGCATGACCAATGAAGATTTTTGTGCGTGTGGACTGGAGTGTAGAGACAGCTGATTCTGGGACCGTCGTGAAGACAAGTGTCCCACAGATGTTTATTCCAGATGTTGGACAGCTCTTCCTCTCAGCTCGTCTCCAATGACTTCCACAGACCTCTGAGACATGTCCTCCCCGTGCAGCGTTAGGTTCTAAATGCTCCTCAAGTGTGCCTTAAATACTTGGTCGTATCCGAATGGTTTCATGTCACAAATCCGTTCTGCTGCCAGTAAACAAGTCAATTTGGGCTCCAAAGAAGTGGAAGATTTCTCAGTATCTGCTAAAAGTTATTAGAGATTAGTCATGCTAATTTGAAAAGATTAAAAAGCTAAAGGAAGTTTTGTTTTTAGGTGTAATTTCAAGTTGGTATTTAAATACCAACTGCTAATATTATTACTTTTACTAGAAGTACTTTTAGGACTTTTTCACCATGCAACCCTAATTCTTAAAGTGGGGTCATTTTACTTCTGTGGCTGCTAACATGTAACATATTGAGATGACCATGTTACCTTTTATTATTTTGAAAAAGCAATTTTTTGTCTTAAAAACTGGTCATACATTTACTGCACATCACATTAGGTTTGTTAAGTTGATGTGTACAGTTGTGTATCATGTTTTTGTATATTTATGGAGAATTGTCTTGTGAGAGCATGGGTGACGTAAGCTTATGACTGAGCATTCACAGAATCTTACAGCTAACCCCAAGGAGGGCTCGTATAGGGCCCCACTTACTTACTGAAACATGCAAGGATGGCATCTAAAGCCTCTTCAAGAATGTTTTTGATGGGGAACAATGGTTTAACATGGTAGACAGCTAAAAAAAAAAAAAAAAAAGATTTTGCATAATATCCCCTCTGTAGTGTGTTTATGTAAACAGTCCAAAACGTAATACAGCAGTGCAAGTTTGAGAAGTGAGAGGAGGAAAAGACAGGCTTTTTATTGACTTTTATTGGAGTGTTAGATATTGTTAACTCAGTGGAAAAACTATCCACAATGTATGTCTTGAGGAAGATACTATCTATATACAGTATATACTGCACATGTATACTCAATTATAGCAACATCTAAAAAGGTTTGTCTGTTTACTTTGCAAACCGCTCCTAGGCTGCCCACGGTGCAAGTTTAAAGGGTGACTTCATCCATGTGACTCCCTGAAATGCTAGTTCGCAAAGCCTATCAATCCTGCCCGATGGACACAGTGAAGACTAACACTATGAAACTCCACAGTCCATCTGATACAGGGTCTGTGTGACAGTTACTACGGCAACAACAAGATAACCCACACTTTATTACGTCAACCAGCTGAAATCCCTGGAAACTCCTTTTCATGGATGAGATAGCATAGTGGCATTGTCTCTGCCAGTTGTTATTTTGATTAATTGAGTCCATTTGAGTTTCTAAAAAGAGCGTAATGGAAAATCTAATGACAACAGACGTAATATATATTCTAATAGATTCATGTTTGTAGGTTACATGATTAGACTAGGCTTCTATTCGGTTACATTGAGTCTTATCCTTGTTTTTAAAGCATAGAGTAGCCAAATGCTCTACTCAGGTAAGAATGTTTTTTCAAAATAATATTACTCAAGTAGAAGTGCAAAGTAGTAGCAGTAGGAGTAAAACACCATTTAAGAAAAGTATTACTCAAATAACAGTAAATGAAAGAGTAACTGTGACATAACATTTAAAAGTTAATGTAAATGGAAGGACAACATATTTTAAAATGCTCTTTTTTTCAAAGGATAAACACAAAATCTGATCAACTCTAAATCATATCTGAAGACCACAAATTTACTCAAGTATGAATAGGCTTACTGTTACTTCAAACTAAATATTAATCAAGTAAGAGTAAAAGTATGGTGTTGAAAAACTATTGAAAAATGAACTTTCTTTCTATAGCCTTCCCCTCATTCTACTACTCTATTTACTCTTTGTTATTAAGAGTGTGTTTCGTAGCAACATTTTACTTTGAGTTTGCAGCTTCTTAGCCATTTCATCACGCTCCAATCCCCACTGTTGATTAGTTGTTTAGATAGAGAAATGTGCGAATTTGACACTTTTTCTAAATTATTCCCAGATAAAACTAAATTCATGCCACTTGAGCACTTCTTAATTCACTGCACACATTTTAGACATTTCCTTTGTCTATCATCACAGAAGGTTTAGGAATCTGGGTATATACCACATAACAATTATTTGATTACTGCATTAGTTGATTTCAATTATAGATTTGTTTTGATTAATTGATTAAAGGTCCTATATTACACAAAATGGATTCTTGTGAGCTTTAAGTCTTGTTATAGTGTTTCTTCATCAAAAACAGACCTAGAGTTGTGTTTTTTCATTCACACATGTTTGAGTAACTCTTTATTGTTAGTCTCTCTACATCTCCAAAGATCAAAATCCTCTGTTCCAAGACTGCAAATTTTCTCATGACTTATGACTGAGTGAAGTTGCATGGAGTTTAAAAACACAGTGGAGCATTTCCTGTATTACATGGCATCACAAAATGGAACAGTGTTTTCAGTTTAAGAGAAGCACCAAAATATGCAGGGTTTGTGTGTTTAACATGTGTGAATGAAACAAAACACAACTCCAGGTCTGTTGGTGATGAGGAAACAGATCATAAAATATTGTAATTTGGGACCTAAAATACAAACAAATGAATTAAATTGTATGTAATTGTTATCTTTGTCATTTTTCTCCAGGTCTTGACTCCAGCACACGCACCCTTAGCACCCCCAGCCCTGGTCTGATCCTCCCTTCCAAGTCCTCCTCCCTCTCCTCTCCGGCTCTGTCCAGTAACGGCCATGAGACAAACTCCTCCTCTTCGTCATCCGCTGTTGCTGAGACCGTTGCTGTGGTACACCCTCACCCAGGCACCCGCTCCAGACCCTCCAAATCACACCACCTCCATGCGCCCATAGACCTGCTGCCCGACCACACCCTCCTCCAGATCTTCTCCCACCTGCCCACCAACCAGCTTTGTCGATGTGCCCGCGTGTGCCGCCGCTGGTACAACCTGGCCTGGGACCCTCGCCTCTGGGGTACGGCACAGTGGGGGGTATTATGATGTCAAAGTGTTATAATATAGTTTAACAGTAATATTTTATAGTACTACTGTTATTATCTTAGAAATGTTTTTTATACCGTGGCACTGGAACAAAAAATATACTGTATTTTTCGGACTATAAGGCGCACTTAAAATCCTTTAATTTTCGACAGTGTGTGTTATAATCCGGTGCACCTTATGTATTCATTCTGGTTGTCAAAATGTTATAGTACAACTTTGGTAAGCTACCAAGCTGCACCGCTTGATGGATTGCCAGAGCATTATGGCTACTGTAGTCAGGAGCCTTGCGTAGTAAGTTGTGTCCTTTAGTCTGACAGAAGCTGAGCGCATCAGACCGTATTTTTTCAGAGCTTGTAGATATGATGCATATTATGCAAATGAGCCATGTGGCTTTAAGTTTTGTTTCTGTAAAATGTACACAAATGTGTGCAAAGCTGCATTAAACACATTATTACTCAATCTATATTTGAGTTCTCCTCGTAGGATTTATATATATATATATATATATATATATATATATATAAACAAACTTGTTATCCGCCCACATTCATGCCAGGAAGGAGAGTTACGTCATGATCTGCCAGTGAATCATGGATGCCTGGGCTAAGGGATCAGTCTCAAGTAAAAATTCTGGTACAGCAATTTAAACATTTCTATCCCTAGGTACGGTTCGTCTGACTGGAGAGTTGCTTCACGTGGACAGGGCCATCCGGGTTCTTACTCACCGGCTTTGTCAGGACACCCCCAACGTGTCTGACCCTGGAGACGGTCATCGTGAACGGCTGTAAGAGGCTAACCGACCGCGGGCTACATGTGCTCGCACAGTGCTGCCCCGAGCTGCGCCGCCTGGAGGTGGGAGGCTGTTACAACATCTCCAACGAGGCCGTGTTTGAGGTGGTCTCCAGATGCCCCAACCTAGAGCACTTAAACCTGTCAGGTAAATACATGGACTTAGGGTTTCTTAGTTTGTTGTTTATGTGTTATGTAAGTGAATCTGATCTTAATCATATATTTGAGCCAATGAAAAAATTAAGAAAAAGTAGCCTTATCTATTGGTTTCAGTAATAAACACAGTATGCTTATTCTTATGTTCACTAGCAAGGACCACGCCAACAACAACATAGAGTGAAGAAGTGATAATGTACGAGGCGGGGTGTAGATGGCTGGTTTGAGACTCTAGGTGGGGGCTCCGTCTCAATCTTTGGTTGGCCCAGACGGAGCGGGATCCCTCTCGTAGCTGTCTGGCTGAAAGATGAACAAGATAGGGGATGGGAGGGTGGGATCGAGTCAGCCGAGACAAACTGGGATGATGGGAAAGGCTGCTACAAATTTCTGGGAAGCTTCTGGGAAATTAGAGGTGTGGTCGAGGTGAGTTGAGGGAAATAACCCCTTAACGCCTGAATTTATATAGATGTATATAAAAATGTTTTGTGTTTATTTTTGCCTCTCCTCGGGGTCACATTGACCCGAAGACATTTTTTTTCCCTTCCCGCTCTCTTGGGGCAAGTCAATCAGACCCCAAAATTTATTTTCTCGCCTGGAGAGAATTCATTTGAAAATAATTGTTTGGGTCTGATTGACCCACTCCAAAAAAGTGGGAAGGAAAAAATTTTTTTCTTCGAGTCACTGTGACCCAGAGGAGAGAGTGAGGGTTAAGTAGATGGTAAATTAAGAGATTATTAATTTGACTATAGCAAAAAAAAAAAAAAAAAGAAATAGAAATGAGGGTATGTTGAAAATTTACGGCAACTAGAAACAAGTGCTTGCCAAAGGTTCTTAGGACGATACTGCATATGCACTAACCAGCACTGGGGAATGCAGCCGCTAACTTGGCTTATATCTTGATACAGTTTGTTGCATATTTGTGACAATCGACGTTAAGGGGTTAAATTTATCTAGCTAGTTAACACTGAGTTCATTATCTTTTTTGCATTATCTTACTTCCCTTTCCTCACATATGTCTGTAACTTGACTTGGTAACATCATGTACTTTACCTCATGGAGATAGATACATTTAATGCCATACTGTGAAACATTCTTGGCAAAGCAACATCTCCATGGAGACAAGCAGGTGGCATAGTGCACAGTAACAAATGAGTCTGTATTGAACTCCCACAGATATGACATGAAATAGCTCTGAGAAAAGTGCAATATTTTTCACATTTAGGGATTACGTAATTCTCTGTGCTACTATTCTCCTGATAAATATGAAACATGTCAGATGTATGGACTTTTATGATCACCGTAATCCAAATTCCCCCTATGCATGTAAAAATCTCTAATGTCTAATAGCTGCAGGTGGGCTCTATAAGTTTAGTGAGGGACTGGACTGGAGCTGACGTCATGTGGACTGTACCTACAAATCCTTCTCCTCCTCTCTCCTCCTCTCTTCTCCTCTCTCCTCCTCCCTCCTCCTCTCTCCTCCTCCCTCCTCCTCCCTCCTTCTCTGTCGTTTGTCCTGAAGCTGGTAAAAGCATTAGGCCCGTGGAGAGACTTTGCCAACCTGCAGATCCCATGTGGAAGTGAAAAGTGTTTGAGCTGAAAATGGAGAGAGAGAAAGGAGAGAAAAGGGGAGAGAGCATAGAGGAGAAGAGAGAGAGAAGGAGAGAAAGGGGGAGAGGGCATGTGAGAGGAGACGGAGACAGAGAGCCAAAAGGTGGAGAAAGGGGAGTGAGAGTGAGCAGAAAAGGAGAAAAAAAGGGGGAGAGAATGAATGAAAGAAGAAGAGAGAGGAAGGAAAGACTAGAGAGGTAGAATGAGAGAGAGGAGAGATGGAAGAAGAGAGTAGAAGAAAAGAGGGGCAGAAGGGTAGAGAAAGAGAAGAGGAAAAGTGAGGAAGAATGACAGAGCTGAGAGAAAAATGGGAGTGCAGAGAGAGAGAGAATAAAAATATAGAAACAAAAAGAAATCGAAAGAAAGCACAGGGAGAAAGAGAGTCAAGTAAGTGGAGAAATGGTGACTCAGACAACAAGGAGAGAGAGAGAGAGAGAGAGAGAGAAGAAATCAGGAGAAGAGAGCAGACAGGGGGGAGGAAAAAGAGCAATAGAGAAGGATAGGAATATGAACAAGAGAGAGCATATAGAAGGAAAAGTAAGATGTGTAGCGGAAGAAAGAGAGCCAAAAGAGAAGGGGGGAGAGAGAAGTGAAGAAATAAGAGGAAGAGAGAATGAGACACCTTAACATACAGAGAGCAGAGAGAGAGAGAGAGAGGAGGAGAGAGAGGAATAAGCGAGGGAGAGCATACAAAACGAGAGGATGAGGAGAGAGAGCAGAGTGAATGATGGAGTGAAGGAGACGGCCTGTTGCTTTCATTAAGCCATTGACACAAATAGTGAGCTGTAGCACTGTCTGCACCATTACCATCAGGAAGTCTGCTTCTGTTGAGTAAAAATAGTCGCAATAATGAAATCAAGAGCTTTTGTAACTGGAAGGGACATTAAGGCCTATGAGTTTTTTGTAAACCTTATCCAGTTTTGTTTTTGAGGCTGTACAAAGTGTTCCTGCTGCAGACTTCATGTGGAGCAGAGCGTACTGTGGCTGTGATTAGCACGCTCTCCTCTGCCAGGCCTTTAACTATTGTGGAAATGTCGAAGAAGTCAAAGATTTGTCTATTTATTTATTATATTGCTAGTGTCATCCACCATCCTGGTTAAAGGACTCATAAAGGCAGATAGCAAGAGGTTTTAACATATATAGGACTGTTTAAGACCATCATTTGAAAATCATAAGTAAGTGTTTTTATTTAAATAGCGCTTTTCACAGACATATATCACAAAGACTCTTTACAGAGCATTATTAATTCACTCCATACCCGGTGGTAGTAAACTACTAATGTAGCCACAGATGCCCAGGGGCAGATCAATCTGTGCCATCGGCCACTTACATACATATTACAAACCATGTTACTTATCACAGTTTTTGTCAGTACATGTTTTCAAATAAGGGACACTCTCTTACCCCATTGGCAGATTTTGATTGAAATAAGAATTATTATAATAGTCAGAAAAATACTAAGGCAAAACCATGGAACTTTCTAGAGGTGGCACGCATGATCCCATGTAAATACATGTAAATGTAAATACATTTTTATGTCATACTGTGGAGGATTATACGTAAGGAACAACATTTCAATGGAGAGAGTCAGGTTTGTGTACCTATTTTATGGCTAAAACATGGAACTTTAACAAGTCAATAGTAATTCAATCCTTGTCAGTAAATTTATTTATTTGATTGGGACAGAGCATGTTAATGAACAAACATGACACAACATGAATGTAAACACACCGGATTGTAGCCTAAAGCTCAAAATTCTAAATAAGACATATTTTTTCAGGTACTCATATAACTATTTTACTTTTTAACTTTTTTAAAGCAGCGTAACACTAGTCTATTAAAGATACCATCTGCATTTAATTTTTTTCACCAGCATGGCAGATGGCAGATATGAAGGCCCTTCACCTGGCCTTTGTTCAGACTCACCTGTGCTCTCTCGTCTTCGTTTGTCAGACCAAATCTGGCACACTATCAGACTGCAATAACATAGAAAGTAGGTTGATAGGGCAGGCCAGCCAGTCTAAATACAGACGGTAGCTTTAACATATGTCCTTCCTGCGCCATTCCACCATCCCACTTATTTGCTGACCCTTCTTCTACTCTCTTTCCAGGCTGCTCCAAAGTGACATGCATCAGTCTCACCCCGGAGGCCACCATGCAGCTGTCTCCCCTCCACGGCCAGCAGATCTCCATCCACTTTCTGGACATGACCGACTGCTTCTCCCTGGAGGACGAGGGCCTCCGCACCATCGCCTCCCACTGCCCGCGCCTCACCCACCTCTACCTGCGGCGCTGTACCCGCTTGACCGACGAAGCCCTGCGCCACCTGTCCCTCCACTGCCCATCCATCCGCGAGCTCAGCCTCAGCGACTGCCGTTTGGTCGGGGACTTTGGTCTCCGAGAAGTCGCCCGTCTTGAAGGATGCTTGCGGTACCTTAGCGTCGCCCACTGCACTCGAATCACAGACGTCGGGATCCGCTACGTCGCCCGCTACTGCCCCAGACTGCGCTACCTGAACGCTAGGGGTTGCGAAGGGCTGACGGATCACGGTTTGGGGCACCTTGCAAGGAGCTGCTCGAAGTTGAAGTCTTTGGATGTAGGGAAGTGTCCGTTGGTTTCGGACAGCGGGTTGGAGCAGCTAGCGATGTACTGCCAAGGACTGAGGCGCGTAAGCTTGAGGGCGTGCGAGAGCGTTTCCGGGAGAGGACTCAAAGCCTTAGCAGCGAACTGTTGTGAGCTGCAGCTTCTGAACGTGCAGGAGTGCGAGGTGTCTCCGGAGGCGCTGAAGTTCGTGAGACGCCATTGTCGCCGGTGCGTCATCGAGCACACCAACCCGGCGTTTTACTAAAGGGAGACTGAAATGGAGAAGACTTTGGCGAGGACAAGTGGATGTTGTGTTATTCCTGCTACAACTTTGGACGAACTGAGGGGTATTCCATAAAATGTTTGTAAGAAAGTCAGATTTGTATTGTCAATAGATAAATCTTTTTAAATGTATCAGTAATCATAATTTTGGAGATTTACATGTCTGCATTGCAAACAATATCTACATACACACGGCAGAACAGTTTTTAAAGGTAGTCATCTGGACACTTGCGGGAATAAATAATTTTCAGTCAGAAGTTTTTGGTCTGAAAAGCTAACTTCAGATCGAAAATGACTGCCAGGTGAGAAGTGCAACATCTCATTTTCAGAAACCAGGTCAGATTACTCCCTTTGAAATCCTTTTCTACCATGAACCACTCCAGGATGAAGGAAGGATTACACCGACTTGCATTCAGAAAATACTTTTAACTTTGACTAGCTTTAAATTTGTAGCAAATTTTTTGTCAGTGTAGTAGGAAAGTATTAGCCTGATTCATCAGCCAGTTTCAGTTCCTGAAAACCGTCTGACCTCGCAGAATTAGTATTCGTTTCCTCGACAGTAGGCGGGTACTTTTTTTTAACCAGTCGCTGCTATTTGGTCATGACGTGATGTAATGCGTTGCTAACGGGGCAAACTGGTATATTATGGCTTTTCCCATATCCTGTAGGAAGAAGAAGGGCAATAATGTCATTCCCCTTGATAAAATTAACCTTTGTTCCGGTTTTAAATCCTTGATCTCAGGAATCGTTGCCAACACAGAATGTATGGCTCTCCGCTGATTGGCTGGTGGCCAAACTCGCACTTCTGGGCTTTTTGCAAACCATCTAGTGTATTCCGATTCCTGACCTAGTCGCTGGAGAGAAATTAAATTGAGCGGAGGCACTAGGTGGCGCTAGCTTGGCTAAGAAAGAGTGTCATCTTGGTTGAAATAAGTAAAATGCCAGTGGTTTAGATATGTCAATATAATCCCTTCCTTTCATTTGTCCAGGAGGGGTCCAAAGTAGTAAATGTTTCAAAGACTGAAACATCTCAACTTCGCAACTTTTGTCCAGATGTTTAGCTTTGAAAAATTGCTATAATTACTTGGAAATTAGGCCTTAACTGCTCAAATACTCAAGGAATTCAGAGCATTTTTATATTTAATTTGAGTGAGCTACAAACACTGAGCCCAAGGCCTGTTTCAGTGATGGCCAAACAAGTTATTTATAGTTTGTTTGCACCAAGAACAGCAAAGACATTCTGGTGAGAACAAATTATTATTGAGATGGTGAATTGAAAGACATGCAAAACAAAGATTTATGGAATACCCCTCTAATGTCAGAAAACACATATGGTTGTTGATACTTTTTCCACAAACCTTCCGTAGAATGTATTTAACATATTTATCTGTAAAAAGTCCATTCATTTCTTCATATTGTCCACTTCACATTAGTTATTATTGTTACATTGAGCACTGGGTACCGCTGTGTTACCATTTAAATCATTGTAATATATTTTATCAACTGTCTTCATCACTATAATAACATAATCATATTTTATACAGCTATTTATAAATGTAGCGACAAAGCAGCAGTAACTAGACCAGCAATGTACAGTGTTACCATATGCACTTTATGTAATTGTGCCGACAATCACTTCAACGGAGCTCCAAGCGGACGACTGTAGCCCCATTCACACATGCAGCCTGACCCGGGAATTTACCTGCATTTTGCCAAAACGGTGTCATGTGTGAACAAAGCCAGAACTGATTTACCTTCATTTTTGAACCGGCAGTTGCTGGGTAAATCACCAGGAATTGTGTAACCAGGTGGTAGGTTACAGCCAGGTGTCCGCTGCGATTTTGCCGTCTTCCATAAATAGATTTGAGTTTTGGAAAAATCTTCAGTTGTGGCTCAAAACTGTGGATCATATGTGTCGGAGTGAGATAATGACAGAGATCAAACTTTGAACTTAGTACGACCACAGACGACTTACCGCTGATATCAAGCATGTATTGTATTTTCTGCACTAATGGGCCTCTGGATTATAAGGCGCACTGTCATTGAATGGTCTATTTTGGAACTTTTTTCACAAACTGCACCAGATTTTAAACGAAACACAACAGTTAGATGGGTCAGTGGGACTTGTTTAGTGCGTTCAGGGTAACTCTTGGCTTTGTTCAATTGTGGTGCGTAGGGAGGGTGCTGTCTGGGACCGCTGGATTGTCGGCGTGTTCTCAGTGACTCAGTTGTTCAGTTGTGGCTCGAAGTGGCACATCGCACTCTATTCCATTCCTCGTCTGCGTGGAGTGATGAGTGTGGCTGCGGGTGTTTTTCACTGCGTGGTCGCTGTCTGCTCCGTGTGTGTTTGTGTGCGCTGCAGGTGGTGCTGCTTTGTAGTTTACTGAAGTCGTGCTGGGACACTCAAGTGCATTTGTGTATAGGGTGCTGTGGATTGCGGGGCACGCTGTCGTTTTTTGATGGGGTTGGAGGCTTATGAGTGCGCCCTATGGTGCGGAAAATACGGTATATATATATTTTTGAGTCTTGGTTGCAGAGTGAGCCCTTGTCTTGCTGCGTCTGTGGTCAACAATTGCTTCAGTAATTGCTTCAAAGTAACAGCAGCATAGCTCTCTTGTGATTGGGGCCATCTCTCCTCATCTTTTTCCATTACGTTTAGCCTACTAACCTTTACAAATACAGAAACACTGCTAACATGTACTAGTCTCAGCTTACCGGTACAATTACAAGCACATTACCGCACAGAGCTTGGAGCCTGATTTCCGCTCCAACAAACTTTAGTCGTAGCCACAACTCGCTGCCGCACATTTTAAACTCTTCACGTCGCGTATACTGACATCCAACAAAAAAAAAAACAAAAACAATTCAATTCAGTGGACATGAGGCTTAAGTGTAACAGAGGAGAGCTGGCAATGTCCTGGGACTGGTGCATGTGTGAATGGGGTCTTTGCTGAGTGTTCTGGCATTTTGTACCTGCCAATTTTCTGGGAACTATGTGTGAAAGGGGCTTTTGTAACTTGTATTTGCCAAGTAGAAACAAGCAGGTATGCAGTGTAGTAAACAGGAACACATTGCAGCTAATACAGTGCCAATAAATGTCTTCAAAGCCCGCCTCCACAACTGTAAGTGTTTTCAATAAGACGTTATAAGACTCTGCTCTAATGTTTACCAGTTGTTAGTGAAATCCAAAAGACATAACATGCTGGAAATTCCATACACAGTTAAAGAATGCAGGCACCTGTTTACAGCAGTAAACAGAAGGGCATGCTTTTCTAATTATTACGTTTGGTGGGTGAGTACTTGTGGTAAATATTTATCATAGTATTACATCCATCAAGTGGCAGTTTGTGAGGACAAGTTGAGGATAAAAAGTTGAAAAATACTATACAGTGTCATGAATACACAAAATTCCACCCAAAATGTGGGGACAAATTGCACACAAGCAATGTATTTTTCGAACGGTTTAAGTATCCATTTAAGAATACGAAGTACTTCAGTATTTTTTTCGTTAAAATATATAATGAAATGCTCCCACACACATAAATAAACAAAAGCATGACACAAAACAATACACTACAACTTCACAAATCTGATGCAATGTGTAGTAGTTTCATTAGCAGGAAGCACACTACATGTCTGTTGTTTGTTGTGGTAGCACTCACACTTTTCAAAACAATAAAAGGCAATATAGTGATCTAAATATATTATGGGTTTAGAATAAATACCTGGGCATGTCCCACTGGGAGGAGGCCCTGGAGAAGACCAAGGACACGCTGGAGGGACTATGTCTAAAATGTTCTACAGCTGTGTGTTGTAGAAGAAATTAGTAGCTTCTGTTGTAGGGAGTATTATAGTTTGATGACATAGACCAAAATGAGAATGAGCTAGCTTCTGTGCTTGGTAGAGCACAGAAGAATTTCTCTAACACTGTGGTTCTCACTGTATGTAATATTTTGGTTTTAAATTTCATAAACGTGACCTGTGTTTCCCCAGATATGAGGTGAACATGTTCCTATCAAGTATAACTTTTAGTAATAATTCGGGACACGCTGGAGGGACTATATCTCTGGGCTGGCCTGGGAATGCCTTGGGGTTCCACTGGAGGAGCTGGAGGAAGTGTCCGGGGTGAGGGAAGTCTGGGAGTCCCTGCTTAGACTGTTGCCCCCACGACCAGGCCTCGGATAAGCGGAAGAAAATGGATGGATGGATGGATGAATGGGTAGAATCAGTATCCCATAGAAGTTGAATACCCACATTTTGAAAGAATATTCATCTCTCCAAAGATTGTAAATGATGGAGTACCTAGGTGGAGGAACAGCCTTTAATCATCATTTTGGGGATTTTGGGTAAATAAACATCTAAACTCTACACACAGGAGGAAATAAATAGTCAAAAAAACCTGTGGATCAGTAGATTTAACCGCTGCACCAACAACATGCTTTATCTGGATTTGAACTACCAACCTTCAGATCAGCGGATAAAGATTCTGCCAACTGCGCTACTGCCCCTTGTGAAATACATGCAAGACCCAAAGTGTTTTACTGTGAGATGACGGTGCTAACTGCTGAAAATGACAAAAGCTGCCTATATATCTGTAGATCTGGAAACATTATAACAATATAACACAACTGCAAACACCACAAATAATATGCTCATTTGAAAAGATGTATTAATTATGTGAAAGATTCAAAAATGCATACCATGTTGTGTATAGTCTTCAAAGCGTTCTGCTAATCTAACCTTGTATAAATCACGTAGAACATACTCTTTCTTTCGGAAATGGACTGATCCTGTTCCAGCCAGAGGGAAATTGAATCTCAATTTGGCAGTGGATGAATGGTAACAATCAGCCTGTAAACATAGTGTAATACAGTGCAGCTGCCAACAGGCCAAAATATGATCAAATGCAACGCCGTAAAAATTCCACCAGGAAGCATAAATGTACAAGAATTTTGGAATTAATGTCGTCTCTTGGAAATGGGCCTAATAAGCACAATAATGGATAAAAGTAAGTATGTGAAGGTGAAGTAAGGACACACGGCACGAGATGGGATAAAAGGTAAGCAGTTAATAATGATTAAACTGTAATGCATTCTTATCTTGACCTTACAGAAGCAAAGATAATTGACTAAAATGTTCTACAGCTGTGTGTTGTAGAAGAAATTAGTAGCTTCTGTTGTAGGGAGTATTATAGCTCTGATGACATAGGCCAAGGAATGACCTTGCAGTGACTGTCCTTGGTAGAGCACAGAACAATTTCTCTAACACTGTGGTTCTCACTGTATGTAATATTTTGGTTTTAAATTTCATAAACGTGACCTGTGTGTCCCTAGATATGAGGTAAACATGTTTCAATCAAATATAAATTTTAGTGATAATTCGGGGAAGACTCAGGACACACTGGAGGTACTATGTCTCTCGGCTGACCTGGTAATGTCTCAGGTCCCCCCGGAGGAGCTGGAGAAAGTGTCCGGGGAGAGGGAAGTCTGGGAGTCCCTGCTTAAACTACTGCCCCCATGAACCGGTCTTGGAAGAAAATGGATGGATGATAACTGTAATGCTGATTTAGAAAATATGGACATGATGTACCATTTATTTATGTTGTAATTTGGTGTTTTGGTTCTCAAGATTATCCACTTACAAGACACAATGAATCTCTTCTGGCTTGTCGTTCAATGTTGAAATCCAATTGGTTTAAACCTGAAATGCCTCTTTGATCTGAACGGTCACTACCTATACCCCAGCACCTGCAGCCAGTCATGAGTCAGTGCTAGTGCAGCCTCTGCAGCTTGGTGAGTGAGGTCTGAGGCAGTGAGCCATGGACTGTCCATATAATGACAAAAACTTGTATATGTTTATATCTGACCTTCTGATTACTACCAGTTACAAACCACTTCAATAACAGGGCTGTAGGTTCAAACTAGAACTTGACAAGGTCTAGACTTTACCTACACTACACGACATTAAAGCTATACTATATCTAAAGAAGGACTGGCCTAAAAGAACACAAAAATGTGCATTCAATTGAAATATTTGAACTGCTGAGTATTCTGCATACTTCAGTTTGAGAAACAAAGCTCTAGTAACTCTGCTGTAATTGCTGTAATTTTCTATTGCTAATCGGTGACAGGGTGGCGTTTATTTTCTTACATGCTTCCCTCCAGTTTCTCTAAATCTGTCATTATTTTTTGCCCTCCTTTGAGTTTATCATTATTTAGAACTATCTTATGTGTTGTTTAGTCTCATTTTAGACATGGTTTAGAACTCAGTTAGGCCTGGTGTAATCTAGGCTGAGATCCAGATGGTACTCAGAAAGCCAAAAATCATCATAGGTGGTATTTGGTGTTTGAAAAGATTTATAGTATTAATAGCATAAAAGTATATAGGCAGTATAATTTACTTGTCAAATCTAATTTCCACAGCCATGACACGTGTAGATAACTACATAGTCCACTAGGTGTCACTACAGGGAAGATAATTTTATATATACTGTATATATAAAATAACACAAGAAAACAACCACACCGTAGTTATCAGTAAATGTTATATTTGATTTCAACATGTCTACCACAGATAAAGTCAAGTTTATGAAATTTTAAATACAAATCTTACATACACAAAAAACTAAATCTAAAGACAGTATAAATAAAGTGTTGATGCCGACGTAAAATAACAGTCTGTCTTTTTATAAAATTTTTCAGAAAACACAAAAAAACTACTAACTGAAAACTTTACAGCATGTGATAAAAAGATAAAACTAACATTTGTGTCAGTGGTTGTACCAGACGTGGATTGGCTCACAGAGCTCTGATTCATGCAAAAAACTTGCAAAAATGTCCCACTGTGGAACATTCCAAATGACTTATGCCATTATTTTAGCAGGGAGCAGATACGTAATGCTTCATGGTAAAGTTGACCTTTACTGAACAATGTGAACTTGGTACTAGATGATGCTGACCTTTTATAATTCAGAAGTACAGATTCGGTTAAAGTTCCCATATTATATAAAATTTACTCTTTTGAATTTTACGACATGTTATAATGCTGTAACCTCGTAAAAACATACCTAGAGTTGTGTTTTGTTTTATTCATTTGGGTAATCCTGGATTATTAGTCTAATCTCTCTAAATGCTCTGTTTCTACCTTTTATTCAGTAGAGATTTGCAATTTCAGGGCTGACATTATTTAAATGATTCTAGTGAAAGTGTATAGAGTTTAAAAACACAGTGGAGCAGAACTCAGTCTATATATGCAAGATGTGTTATATGTGAGAATGAACCAAACTGAGTATGTCTGTGATGAGGAAACAACATTATAACATAGATCAGAGAAAGGGTAATAGTGCCCCTTAAGCACCTATACTTCATGGTCTGAAGATAATGTATTTTGAATAGTGTGTTGCACAGTCTTCACAGTTTAAATATATTTCTGTTTGTGAGGAGAAGATGTTTTTTTTTTTTTATAGATTGTCTTTAAAAGTGTAGCGTCTTTGCAGTTTGTTGGAGGTAGATTGCTTCTTCTCTTCAGGACCTGGCTGTGTGCAGGTACATTCATACTGTGGCTGTGGCGTTGGAGTCCACGTGACCTAAACAAAGAAAGACACTTTCAACATACAATTCTAGAGTCATTCATTATTCAGAAATTGTGTTGACCTAATATAAGCATTCATACCTGACTTTTGATGACGTACAGTTCATTGCGGACCTTCTTGTACTTTTTCTCCAGTTCTAAGTACTTGTGTTTGAGTGCTTCTCTGTCCTTCCTCTCTGTCAGGAAATCTTCTTTATAGATGTCAGCCTGTATAAATAAATGCAAATACATTCAAAGTTAGTACTTAGATCATTTTACTGGAAAGATTTTTGTTTCACTGTACTACTGCTACTCTTAACTTAAACATGTATCCCATCACATTGAAGTAACTATAGTACTATTCAGTACTATTGCTGTAAAACATCTATAAAACTTTCTTAAAGGTACAGTATGTAACTTTCTAGACTTGGCAAATCACCTGCATGATTCCATGGAAAAAGCATGAAGTTTTATGCCCCACTGTGGAAGATTATAGTCAAAGAAACAACATTTCCATAGAAACAAGCAGGGGGAAGTCCACCTCTAGACCAAGTAAGGGTCAGGTTGATGGAGATGCAAGCCTGCTTATTTATATAACATGCTTTTATTGCTGAGTATTTTTTTGCCAAAAAGTTGCATACTGTGGTTTTCAGTTTCATGATCTTATTCCTTATGTTCCATTTTTACATGTTAAACCTTGAACTACATTAATATTTTTAGTATCAGTTGGTAAAAAACAAGTAAACCTCTAGTCAAACCCTAGCATTACAGCAATTTAAAAAGTTGCGAAATAAATGACAACCCTCATTTTGCAAGATCTTGTCCAGCCCTGATCTATAGTACAAATAGTACAATGTAATCTGCCCTACCTGGTGTTTCCATAACTCTTGTAGTGTTTCAGTGCTCACTTCCTGGGACGATCTTGTCACGAGTACTTCCTCCAAAGCCTGGTAAAAACATTGAATAAATACTTCAAACTATGCACGTGTTTTTTTCACTTCCTTTGTCTGAAATGTTGCCTGACCTTGTTTAGCCTTGTAATCTCTGCGTTCTGGTGCTGCCCCCTTCTGGCCAGTGCGCGGTTCTGCTCCTGTAGCTGTCTTGCTTCACTCTGGGCTTTCAACAGACCATCACCACTTCCTGTCTGAATGATAACGAGTTTAGTCATGTGCGCTAAAGATTGGCATTGTGTTATGGAAAATGCCCCAAATATGACTCACTGCTGCTGTTCGATCCTTGACAACGTTGAGTTTACAAACATGTGGATGAACGTCTGCACTCTGGTCTGGGCGCTTCTCGAGAGGTAGTGATGCCTTGAGGTTACGGAGCTATGTTGAGAGAAGAAAAATAACAAATAAGTATTGCACAGCACAGAACGTTCTTATTAGCAAATGTTGAATTTTTAGGATTACTACATAGTGTTTTCATGATACTAAAGAATAGACTTGATACTCAATACCGATCCCTTATCTCTGTATTTAGGCAGTAGAATGTGATTTTCAACATTAAATCATAGTATTTTCTGTGTAATCCATCAGTCGTCCAGGTAGTAACATTTTAGTAATGATTAGTCTCATATTTTCAATGCCTTCAATTCTTACAACCCTATTAATAATCTCTGAATTAGTCCAACATCATGGATAGAATGTTATAAAAACATGAATTCAATTAATGTAAGGATTTTTTTTATAATGGAGGTGGAAAAGCATTATAAACTTGTATAATTTACCATAAAATGAATACAACTTATTGCTATGACTGAAATGTTCATCATCAGGCCAAGTTAGGTCTGTAAAATCAAATAAATGCAAGGCAGATAAGGTAAATGCCATAGTGTGGGACATAACATTCAAAGCAATAACATTTCCTCTGTGGTAGACCCTCCACTAAAAGTTATCAGTGTGTATCAGAACATTAAGATGCACATTAAGATATGCCCATGGACCACTGATGGATTATACAGATATAAAACCACATGGTAATATAAAAGAAAGTACTATAATTTAATGTTGAAAATCACTTTGTATTGTCTAAATAATGAGTGTTTTTTTATTATCATTGTAGTACCTGAATCTGTACTGGGTCTATTTGTGGATTATTTTAATTTATTTACAGCAACACCACACCCCTGCCCTCATCTGACTTCATAAACTACTATCTGAAAACAACTATGTCACTTACTATGCACATTCTATATTTATTACATTTCAGTACTACATAAGTCACACTTTCACAGCCAGTTCCCAGTGCGGTTCAAAAACTTGATGTCATAACAGTAATAATTCTCAAACTTCCTATTCGTTTTTTTTTTTTTTTTTTCCCAAAACAAACTCAAAATGTATTTACCTTATCTTTGTAATACTGCACCATGGTTCTGTACTCCTTCGCCCATCTCTCGTTTATGGAAAGTAGCTGAGTCAAACAGACAGAAAAACTTAAGTAAGTACTTGTATTAGTATTTTTTTTGTTTTGTTGGGTAAGTATGAATATTTGATGTACTTACTTCTTGTTTTTGCATTTCCAAAACACGGATCTGTTCTTTCATTTGGACTGCACGTTCCTCGTTCTAAGAAACATATCAAATGTTGTGTTAGTATTGAAATTTGTTCGTGTTTAGTCTCAATCTTTTGACTTTTGTTTTCTTTTTTGTTGTTGTTGAAAATCAAATTCTATTGTCTAAATAAAGAGTGTATTTTTGTTACTGTGGTATGGAACCTGTATTGTGTCTATTGTATGAGTCTATTCCTTAGTTTCAAAATTGAGTTTGAAATGTTAGTATCATGCCAAAACTATTCACCATTGTTCATTTCTGTTTATAAATATCCATGCATACAAATCATTTTACTCCACTTTCATTATTTTAGTTTTGGATTCATCAGCAAAACATCCTCTGCCAATGAAACTACAATGACTTCGCAAAATTAACCCTGTAAAATGAATTTAAATGTGCCACGAGAATGTATGTTTGTACTTCCCTTTACATATTTGTGGAAGTTTTGATCTGGTTGGCTTCCAGTAATGTGATGTGGATGTGAGTGTGTTGAGTGAGCTGGCGGTGTGTGATCATTAGGCCAGACTTTGGGTATGTTCCAATATTGCGTGATTTGTAATTTACCTGAGTGTTTTCCACAACATTGTCCGGATCGTGGGTAAAAGTGGAGTTCATGTTGTTGCTTGGAGCGGAGCGGTTCAGTACGCACGCCTCCAATCTGAAGATGAACATATTTTAATGAGGGTCCTGACAAAATATAAACTAATATATTATGAATTCAAATGATAGAATGAAATAGACTTTTATTGACATGGGGCTGTTAAAAAGGTTGATAAGTGCACTACAGAAAGTTAGCATGTAAATGTAAGCTTTTTCTTCCAAGAAATAGTGCTTGGGATTTGGTTGGGACAATTGGTTCTAGTTACAGGAATAGGTAGGCAGTATCCTTAGTATCCCTATCCCTTAAGAGCCCTATTTAGCACGCTTAACAAATATGAGTTGCAATTTCCTTTCACAGGATGGAAAGTCATGGTAACAAAAAAATGAACTTTGGTAATTATATGATAATTACAGGTGGACAAACGGGATCTATCATTTAACTGTGGCGTGTGTGAGTGTTGGTGGTATGATACTGCAGATTTACATCCTCTCTTCTGTCAGTTTACCCTGTACAGTCTATGATCTAGCCCAAGGCAGCTGTGGCTATAACAGTATCTTACCACCAGCAACACCAAGTGTGGAGTAAATGAATAATGCAGGTTTATATACCATTTTCATACTACTATACTCTCAAATGTTAACATTTTATTGACTTCACTAAACATTATATTTTGAAGTAGCCTACTCCAAGGACCACTGGCAACAATAGTACACTAGTCTATGGTTTTCAGTTTCTAGAAGATAGATGGGGGCAAGAGACAGTTTTCCTATTGATTACATTGTACTTTTCCATGAAATATCTACAAGTTAAATGCATAAATGTTGAATCTGATCATTTCTATTAGTGACTAAATGATTTAACAATATCAATTTTAGCTGCCCCCATCTGTGTTAAGTATTATTGACCTGTGATGTTGTCTGAAATCCAGCAATAGAACTGCACATGTTATTTGGGACAGAAAGTCTTCAGAACTACAAAGTGGACAGATCACTATATGACATAATAATAATAATATAGTGTGGTTTTGAGTTTACCTGCTGGTGGTGGGTAGTGAGGGATATAGTCTCTCCACCTGTGCACCTCTCTGTGGGCTCAGTGTGGAAGAGGGGTCAACTCTGCGATCCTCCTACAATGGTCAGAATCAGAATGCAAACAGTTTACTGACATTTTCAAACTGGGAAATTGCTTCTGTTTTATAGTGCAACATTAAATGAAAATGAATAATAACAATAAGGTCATGCGCTAAAAAAATTGACTTTGAAAAACAAATACAACTTGCAAATGAAAATTAAGAATGTGCAAATAAAACAAAGGTATAAACATAGTAGGAAATTCAAAATAATAAGTTAGTATTTTGTCTTTTGTGATGGCATTTTACACTTTGCACTGTTAACTACTATTGGAAACTATACAGTCTATAATGCTGCCACATTTACAGAAATGTTTATCAATGTGCGCTGTACCTATTAAAACAAATAAATAGACACAAATAAATACAGAAAATAAAAGAAAGAAAGAAATCATATATAAAGTGAAAAAATTTACTTGTTTTTTCACATTTGTTCTCCATTTTTGTAAGTTTGGCTGCATTTGATTGTGAATATCACATAAAAATCTAATAGCAAAATTAGAAATTGAGAAAATTACCTGCCAAACATTTTGTAAATAGTTTCACTTTGAGAGTCAAAATTTGCTACATAATCTATTAATGTTAATTTGACATTTTCATTTTGAATGACTCATTTCCAAATTGTAACAAAAAAACATTACAAAATCAGATCAATGCTGTTAAAAGAAGTGGGAATCCATGACATTTAATTACCTGTCGTATAAGATCATTACTATATACTACAATACTATACTGTACTATAATTAGCGCTACTGCACATAAACTGCCTCGTAAGCTCTTACAAAGATCATTTCATCACAGGTTATTTACTCGTCGCAAACTTGCAGATAATTGTCCGTACTTTAGATAAATCGGATTGAACAAACTCACCATGTGCTGTTGTTTTGCCCTCTCCTCTCCTGCACGTTTCTCTTCTCAGCTGTTCAGATTTACCTCACGCCTTTTTTGCCACGCGCCTTATATATGTGCGGAGGCGGTAAAGCCCCGTTATCCAATCGCGTGGCGGGGTTCCCTCTCGCGCACGGCGGGCACTTGACGGGCTTTATCGAAGGAAAGGAAAGTCCGCGTGACTGATGTGTGTCGGGCGAGGAGCGGTAAGACACACGGGCACTTCTGGTATGTCGTGTACCAAAAAAAAAAAAAAAAAAAAAAAAAAAAAGAAGAAGAAGAAGACGGAGGCACTTCTGGTATGTTATGGACCAAAAAAAAACAAAAAAAAAAAAAAAAAAAACCTCACCGTAAAAATGTCAAGTTGACTCTGCACTTTATAGGCGTAGGCTCCACTCCTTAAACTAACGCATGCCTAGTCCACAAGTTTCCTTTTCCCTTTCCTCTGCTTTAGCCTTTCCCTTCTTAAATAAGGAATGACAGGGGTGAGGTTATTTCCACAATTAAATAAGATAGGCATGACTAAGTAGTAGCCTATCTTATTTTGCAAGGTCAATTCAAATGGACAAACTTTATTGATCCACTTGGGAAACAGTGCTTGGACACAGTATTGCTTATTTATTTAATTAAATACAAAACAAATATTAGAAGAAAACAGAGTTAGCTCATATTCATATTACAATAAAACAAAACAAAAACTAAAAATTGGTCCACATTTTTTGTTTTCCTTTGAGTTAGTCCATATTTGAGACCTGGTTTAGCATTATTTTAGACCTGAACTAGCCATGTTTGTTCAGAACTGGCAGAAGCTACTTGGAAAGCTATATTTTATTTTATTTTATTTATTTATTTATTTTTGTCTTTTCAGAAGCTTATAAATCAGATAGATTGTAGTCTGTCTTTTTTCTTGTTTTAAATCATATGTATGTCCATAAACTTTATGGTTGTAAAACAAAGGCTGGAACATTGTAACCTAGTTCCAAATACTGTTGACATCCACCTTTCTTTTAAAGCTGAAATATTTCCAAGTATTTCCTAGGGAGTGCTTCCAGTATCTCTGGTTTGGAAATCTGTCTATAAATGCAATTAGTTGTAATAAAACTACCTGGCTTCTATGGTAATAAAAACAGATAAAGCAAAGATTAGCTAAAGCCTCTATTAGACTAATGAAACTAATCTTGTTATTATACTAATGTAAAAATGAAAGCAGATTTTGTAATATCTGTTAATATGTTAATGAAACACTTTTTTTTCAGACTTCAAGGAAATTATAGGCTTAATTTATCTTATATTTAATTATCTTCTCTAGTCTTTGTGGAAATTCCCAATGAATTTCAATTCTACTTGTATAACTTAGTGTTGTGCATCATTTCTGCTTGTAACTGTATTTTTACACTGCTGATAGCGTCATGCTTATTTACCAGCACCGTGCTTACTAATTTTTCGTTCTGTTTCTGTAGGCCTACCACAAGATGCACTCGTAGTATTCTTGAGGGCGGACACTGTGAGTAATAAGAAAGCCTACAGAATGAATTTAAGCATGCAAATGAGTCTAACCTAACCCCTGGGAAAGTCACACTTATGTTTAACCGTATCACCTGAAACGATCTGTACAATGGCAACTCTTCTGAACGCGTTTGACTCATGAAGGCTGTTTCAAGGAAGAGGTGCAGGGGGAAATCACGTCACTCTTCCAGTAGCACCATGCTCTGTGCGAAGTAAACAGCTAGAGGGACAGGCATGGCTATAATGACAGCTTAAGTTTTCATGATTTGTGTCATTGTAATATTCATTTCCAAGAATGATGTTGTAGTTGTTTGAAAGGTGAATTAGGCATGTCATGTTTACTCTATTTAAATGAGAAGAATAAATAATAAGTTATGACATTGTAGATCTATTTATATTTAGACAGACTTAAATGTAACTTTCTGGAGGTGGGGCATCCCCTGCATAATTCCATTGGATTTGTGAGTTAAACCCATACTTAGGAACATTCTCCATGGAGAGAGTCAAGTTTTATGCTATACTGTAGAAGATTATAACCAAAGGAACAACATTCCCATGGAAACAAGCAGGAGGAGACCCCCATTCAGGCCAAGTAAGAGTCAGGTCTGAGGAGATGCAAGCCTGCTCAGAGTAAGGATGCAGGTTTTTACAAGTTTACAGTGCAATAAACTTCACTATCTCCATGAAGACATGCTGGTGATGCTATCAGGCCAAAATAAAGGTCATATCTGTTTATATTCAGACAGACTTAAGAGAAGGGAAACTACTCAGTTACAGAACTATCATGTCACAATAAAGGTGCTTTTCTGGAGGAAACTCAACCTCCTTGTTATATTATTGTTTTGCCTGAAATGGTCCACAGTACGGAATTAAACTTTACTATCTCCATGGAGACTAGCAAGTATTATTGATCTATTGAGAGGCATCCCCACTCCTTGTAAGCATGCATGTTTTTCAAGGTAGTGACAATAATGTAGTAGGATAAGTTTAATGCCATTATGTGAAATATTTCATGGAAAGCAATAACATACCCATGGAGACAAGCAGAAAAGTTGCACAGTATATCCTTAAGAACATAGCAGAAAATAGAGAGTACACATATACAATACACATACAGTTTATCACTTGTATACCCTTTTATAAATGCTAAAATGCCATTGTATATTTTTTCCCAGGCTAGTAAAAGCTTTTTATGACTTTTTATTGAAGGTTATTTTTTTGCTGAAGTTCCAGTTTCATTGACTTAACCAGCTGGGATGTACAACACTGCCACCGTGACCTCACATACTCATGTTCTCACAGGAAAACATCTGCTCTACAATGGATCTTGCGTAACTGTACTATTTTCTCAACAAAGCTATATCATTTGACAGTGAGGAGTATCGGCTAGAGTAATATAATAATATACATAATAAAAATAGATAGGTACTGTAAGAGATGCGTAATGTAGCCATGTATTAGTATTGTTACTTCAAATATATGACTTTAGCTGAAGTAAAAAGTGCACTTTGTAACTTTTGTCATGGAGGATTCACCAAGAATGTTCCACCATATGGCATTAAAAACTTAAATCCATAGAGACGTACCAGGTCAGATCTGTGGAGATGCAAATTTGTGTGTTTTAAGGTGTTCTGTGCCATAAAAAAACAACTGTAAATAAATAAAGATGAGCTAGATAGAGAAGTATAATTTCATATAACATTTCAGGTAAAGTTATAATTGTCTCCATGGTAACAAGCAGGTGTTAGATGTGCCCAGCCGAAAAGTTATGCAGTGCATCTTTAAAGTTTTTTTTAAGTTTAGACAATAAGAACAAATGCCCAAGTAACTGATTATATTATAGTGTAGTATTGATTCTTTGCATCTGTGTGACGCTAACTGAAAGCACTACTCTTAGAAGCTGTTACTCAAGTTAGACTTCTGACCTCATTTTATCTTTATTTTTAACAGTCTGATCAGAAACAGCTGAAATACAGTCCCATGCTATAATTACCAGTTTTTCACTTAGTCACCTTTTTTTGTTGAAACACCTTAACAGAACATGAACGCTTTTTTTCGTTCACACATTTAACACACACCCTGCACCCTTCTCGGAAACAGAAAAAACTTGGTTCCACCTTGTGATGTAATGTGGTAATACAAAAAGTACTCCATCACTAGAATTATTTGAATGATTGTAGCCCTGGAATTGTCAGTGTCTGTTGATCTAAACGTAAAATGTAGTGGGTAACTTGTCTCATCATGACATCACAAGGTGGAATAGAGCATTTTGAGCTTTGAAGATGTAGATAGCCTAATCAACCAGGCTTACAAACGTGTTAATGAAACTTCTGGTATGTTTTTGTGGAGGTAACAGCATGGCTTAAAGCTTACAAGAATCCATTTTGTGCAATAATCAATCTTTAAGGCCATTTTATTTTCCTCCTGGGGCAGTGCGAAACATTTTTGGTGTTGGTTTGGTCAGCTAAGGGGGTGCTAAGGTCTTCATTGACACTGTTGGGCAAGTTACTTACTTTAAAATTGTAATGCATTATTTATTACTTGTTACTGTCATTTCAAAGTAATTTGTTACATTACAATATTACTGCATTTAAAATAAAAAAAATAACTGCGAAGATGCTGAACTTTTGCGTCATACATGGGCTGAACCACGACTAAACCAGGTCTAAACCAGGACTATACCAGAGCTGAACCAGGACTAAACTAGGTCTAAACCAGGTCTAAACCAGAACTGAACCAGGTCTAAACCAGGACTAAACCAAGTCTAAATCAGTGTGTCTACAAAGCGCGATTGGGCGCCAGTTGTGATTAGCCTTGTGGTGCGCAGAGCTCTGTGCTGGTCCTTTTGCCCGCGGTCACCCGACAGTCTACATGGGTGCACTTCCAGCATTTCATCGCTGCTGATATCGTGGTGATTTTTGTATGAAGAAAAACAAAAAACCCACCACTTCAATCCAGGTTAAAAAAGCATTGTAACGCTTTACTGACATTTGTACCAAGTAAAATATTACATTTTTCCCCCTGTAATGCCTTACATTACTGCTTTAGAGCAAAAAATCAATGCTTTACAGTAATTCGTTATTTTTATAATGCGTTACGCCCAACACTGTTCATTGAGGATGCTCACTTAACAAGCTCATTTTAACTTTTAATAATGGAGTGCACCCCCCACCCCCTACCATGTTTGCTTTGCCTTTTTAAACAAGTTTAAATATAGTTAACACTGCGTAATGAATCATATGGAACATTCTTTCAATCTTGAAAGTGGGGCAGAAATCTTTGGGGGAGCCATTGTAGTGCCCCCACAAGCCTTTCCCTGGCACCGCCCCTGTTTTCCTCAATTATAGATTGACCTACACTCTTCACAGTTTTGTAGAAAATGTGTTTGCTATTAAGAAAGCGTTGGTTGACTTCATTTTTGGGGACTTCTCTGTGTTCAAAACAAAAGCTAACATCTGGTGCAGTCCTGGTGTCTCAAGGCATGACGTTGCTTTCCGTCATTGCAAAACTCAAAGCCCTTTTCGTTTGTGGTTTGACCGAGGGGCCTTTTTCATAACACACTCACACCTGTGCAGGCACCGAAAGGGTTACAATGTCACCCACAGGTTAAAGATACATTACTGTTAGCTGTGACAAAGCACCCACTGAAATATAGGAAAATGAAGAGGCGCTCCCATGCTATGCCATTTGTCACATGCAAATACTTCCTACGTCCATTAGAGATTTTGGTGATCTCATCATTTTTGACTTATTCTGGTAATCGAAGTTTCAAGTGAGAAAAAGTGAAAGTGAAACATTATTAGCTACAAGGGAAATGTAATCTGATTTAGCTATAGATGAAAAATGGAAGTATCTTAAACTTTTCACAGAATCACACAACTTGGAAATCTATACATCTTTATTAAAATCTTTACATGACATTTAGAACATTGGCCATTCAATCATAGCAGCTACACAGTTAAAAGTTAAAAATGTTTCCCCATTTCACCCACAATATAAAAATGCATAATTCATACAGTTAAAATGAGTCATGAAAACAGTTAACCAAAACATTTGACCAAAAAAAAAACAACTATAAACTGTAAAGTAGTACAATTTGGTAGACTATGGTTGGCCACTTCACCAACAGGATCCACATGTCTTTGACTGTGAGGCACATTCTTGTATTTGTGATCTGCAACAAAAAGAAACGTAACATCAAATATGAATGAATGTACAAAAGATTACTGATAGCTCATGATCAAATGGAGTAAGGCATTATGGTAACTTTTGGTCACCATTGTGATTGTGTCCTTGGGCAAGACACTTTACCCACCTTGCCTCTGTATGAATGTAGTATAACAATAATACACATGAACATAAAGCACTTTACTATTCTGGTGAAGTAGACCAGTAACCAAATAAGGGTATTTTTTCAGCTTATCAAAACATTTTGGTTTCTCAAAATATAAAATAGGCTAAAGGATGAATTACTTAGAAGTACGTAATAGGAGTGTAACAATATTCAAATCTCATGATACGATATTGTCACGGTATGAACCTCACGGTAAGATATTTACTGCGATATCGTGGGAAAGCTCATGATATGGTGGGGAGGCTCACAACAGCTTAGGGTTATAACAATATCCAAATCTCTCTGTGCGATATTTTCAGGATATACATCGCACGGTATGATATTTATTGTGATATTTTGTGGAGGCTAAACAGCTAAAACTGTTAATATGCTACTTTTTCCTCTTAAAATACCTGGACAAGACTTAATCCAAAAAACTAAGACTTAAAAGTGCTTAGAACTGTTATTTCTTTATGTAGTATACACTTAAATGCAACAAAGGATCATGGTCTATGTAGTTCCCTCTGTCTTTTTTAGCTATTGCTGCACCATAACTCTTAACTTAAGCAAAGAGACTTGTAATTCAATATATTGTGATGGTCCATGATATTATTGTGAGAACTCTGAAGATACGATATCACAATATTTCAGTTATTGTTACATCCCTAGTATGTAATGTTGCAACTTGACACTGCAGCATTACCGTACATACCTTGTGTATTTTAACATTGCAAGTTGTTAAATCTGAATATTGATTCAAGTCTGTTTTACCCCAGATACATTGTAAAAGCAGTTCTGAGACTCCACAAGAGACAGCTGTGCCTTGTTGTTGCTGTCTGCATCTAATTATAAACTGAGAATCAGGAAGTGCACTGTTAGCATGCAAATCTTTGTAAGTATTACAGTGCCATTACAGTAAAGTGAGGAAAAAGTCTGGGCTGCCAAAAACATGTTTTTTAATGCACATGTTTTTTAATGTTGATTTCAGACCTCTATGTTGTTCACTGTCAAGACTGGATTACCACCTAATTTCTAATTCTAGTTTGTCACCACACAACATCATCACGCCATTGCAAACATGAGCACCTCTAGAGCAAAACAGGAAATTTGACATTGTGCCTCAGGGCTTAAACAAAGTACAGACGGACATTCTCATGTTTTAGAATTTCAGCAAAGTTTTGAGTGAAAGATCACAAACAGACAAGGAAACTCCTTCCAATAAATTTGCAGAACACTATTATTTTGTTTATTTTGCTATTTAACCTTAAGAAGTCCTATTAATATTCAGAATTTGTTTTACAGGAGGTCTAGGCCGCAGATAGAAGTATGAGATTGTCGCCCTCTGCTGGCGACAGAGTATTTTATTAATATTACTCTAATACTACTAGACTACTCATTTCTCTAATACAGTTAATGTCATTTCAAGAGAGACCTTACACACAACACTTTTTTGTTTTGTTTGTTTTTAGTCAGTTTGCTCACTCAACATATAAGCTTTCATGTGGAACCAAAATTGTCCAATCTGCACCAAAATGTTTTTTTGTTGAATCAGATTGCCCCTATAGCTTTATATGGGAGATATAATAAGGATCAGCCTTTAAAGTAGTCTCGCCTACGTACACCACACTTTATACAATCTTGTGCTAACAATATTTTCACAAAATGTACAGAAGGATTTGTTGATGTTTAATTCCAAGGCAAAAAATGTTTAACATTAGAATAATTTTCAAGATTTTGCTTTCTCAAATACTAAATTAAATATCAGAAATTCACTCTGGAAATCTTTTTTGTGTCCCAAATATGATGCAATATGAGCATTTTAATCCATGTATTGTTCGTTCATTTGATTTTCACAATAAAACCAAAAATAAGAAAATGAAAAAACAACAATTTTCTCTCCAAAACCAAAATGAAAAAACAGATGATTTGTTTTTTCAGTTTTCAATTTTGTGTATAAATGAATAATGGCAAAAAAACAGACAATGTCTGTTTCCTGTTTCTGTGATACCGGACTTTTGAACTGTATATGGACTGAACCAAGACTGAACCAGGACTAAACCCATCTCAGTCCTAGTCTCAGTCCCATTCTGGTCCTGGTCCTAGTCCCGGTTTCAATCCTGGTCTCAGTCCCGGTCTGGTCCCAATCTGGTCCCGGTCTCAGTTCTGATACCTGACAGTGTACGAGGGTGCATCTCCCAGTCTGTCCCGATACTCAGTCCCGGTTCAGCCCTGGTTCAGTCCTGGTTCAGTCCTGGTTTAATCCTGGTTCAGTCCTGGTTTAGTGACCTGATGTACTCCTGTTTTAGTCCTGGTTCAGTCCTGGTTCAGTCCTGTTTTAGTCCTGGTTCAGTCCGGTATCGCAGTTTAAGTCACGGAAACGGGAAACCGTTTTTTTCCCCGTTTTTTCCCTTATTCATTTAAACACAAAATCAAAAACTGAAAAAATTTATCATTATCCGTTTTTTTTCTTGTTTTGTGTTTTTTTGGGGGGTTTTGGAGACAAATAGTGAAGAAAATAGTTGTTTTATTGTTTATTGTTTATTGTCTTATTTTTGGTTTTATTTTGAAAAACTAATGAACGAATGATACACGGATTCATTTTCACACATCAAATCCCTTATTTTGTATGAAACCATTACATGATCAAAAAAGGAGTTTCAAATTGATATCTCTAAATGTAACAGTTTTTCACCTACAGCGTCTCTCCTTAAAATTTGAATTTCTAATTCCACCAAACACTACATCATGGACCATATGAACTGACAGAAGCTTTACTCACTCTGGCACCTCCTTGCAGCTGTAAGCAATGCCCTTATCTAACACCTTCTGCAAGTCCTTTAAAGATTGGCTGGAACAGTTTGATCTGAAAAAAAGAAAAAGAAAAACACACACAACTTTGTCATCATTCAAGTACAAGTACTAATTTTGTGTATTAGTACTGAAAATTAAACTTACACTTTTTTCTCCTGCGTGACCAGAACTACATTGAGACTGTTCATGATGACGGGGTTAAAATTCTTCATCTCAATGCTCGCAAATATACTGAAATAAACAAACCAACAAACAAACAAATGAAAATAGTTAGTCTGTCATTTACTAATCAACCTCAGAGTGTGTTTGGTCATGTAATGTTAAAGCTGAGGTGTTTACGTACCTGGCTGGATGGAAAGGAGTCGCGATAGATCCGTTTAGCATAACAGAGACATTGCCGCAGGCCACTTCTGCATACTGTGAACAGAGGGAATACAAAAACACGATGAATCCCAGCTCTGTATTGATATTCTGCAGTGGCACTATGCTGGGAGGGGATCTATATGTGTCTCTATGGTGAATGTTCAGCACTTACCATGGTGAAACTATGCACAGTCAAAGGACGTTTTAAAATACTCAGAAAACTCAATCCGTACAGTGAATTAAGAGACATTACAGTTAAAACTCAGTGAGATTCTCAGCCCTGAATTAGCTGCTTTTGAAAACACACCATGACAGAGAATCAAATGACTGGGACAGTGTCAGAGAGTTGGTGATTCTTAGTAAAAATATGTTCTTAATTGGATGAGAGAAGGTGACCTGTGAGTAGTTTTTTTAAATCTGTTATCACTAGAGAAAATGCTGCATAAAATGAATTGATTATATGTTACTAGAGCAGGGTATCGTTAAGAAGTTGCCGATTTGATACATATCTCGATACAGTGCACTTTCAGATCGATACAATATATTTTAAATTGATTTGATATGGTTCAGTAAAAAATAATGGCTAATGGCTGGCTGTGATACTAAAAGTCTTTCTTAAACCATGCCTTGTGCAAAATTAATATGAAACACAAACATTTTAATCATCAAAACAGTGAAAATGTCAAATGTGTTCCATAAACGAGTTTCCTTCCACTAAACAAGCAACAAAACTGTAGTGCTGTAACTAAATAATTGAGTAAAACATACTAAAAAATACTCCTGGTGATATATATCGATACAGCAGCCCTCGATATTGATACTGTATCATGACATTAAACGATACGATATATCAATATTTCGATATTTTTGCACACCCCTATATGTTACAGTCAAACCAGGTACACGCCATTTAACTTCAACAATCCTTTTCTCAATTTTTTTTTTCTTAATTCACTGATAAACTTCCAATATGATGTGTTTTGTTTCATTCACACGTGTTTGAGTAACCCTTTCTAATTAGTCTGTGTACATCTCCAAAGCTCAAAATGCTGTTTCACTTCATGATATCACCTGTCGACCTTCTACCTTTTGTTCAGCAGATTGGCATTTCCAGGGCTGAAATTATACAAATAATTTAAATGAAGGTGTATGGAGCTTAAGAACTGTGGAGCACTTCCTGTATTATAATTACAAAGTGGAACAGAGTGTTTTCGAGAGAAGAACTCAGCCTAAATATGCAAAGTTTGTGTGTTAAACGTGTGAATGAAACAAAACACAACTCAAGGTATGTTTACGATGAGGAAATATTATAATATAAATCAAAAATAGCATAATATAGGTCATTTTTCTTTCTTTCTTTATTGTAGTTTGAAATGCAAAATATATCCAGAATATTTCAGTAATAATTAGTTTACTTTACTCAGACACTATCCAAAAGACAATCTGAAAACAAATCTTTGCATCTGGTGTCAACAAAAAGAACCAAGAATTTTAACACAACTCTTTATGTCTCAAAAATATGCCTTGAAGGACACACACAATGCACACACATTTTTCATATATTACCCGAGGCCAAATTTGAGTTTTTTGTTTTTGTTTTTTTGCTGTAGTTTCCCCAGTTGTAAGTAGAGTATGTGATAATGATAGGTGAGATCAGATGGCATTCCAAACATGAGCATCTCATCTAAAGCATTTCTTCCACACAACAGGAAATCTGACTCTGTGCCTCAGGGCTTAAAGAGAGTACACACTAACATTCTCTTGTGTCAGAATTTTTGCACAAAGTTTTGAGAGAAAGACCACAAACATTTTACAGATTCAGTCAACCATACTCTATATTTTTATGACATTTCATAAAGAGTTCCCACAATGTGTTCCTCAAACTTTAAATGCACTTTTGTACATTTTAAATAAAGGATAAGACAAGGAAACACCTTCTCACAACTTGCAGGACTCTATTCTTTAGTTTAATTTAAACTTTAACCGTAGAAGTCCCATTAAAATTAAGAATTTGTTCTACAGGAAATCTAAATGTAAAAAATGTTGAGTTTGTCGCCCTCTGCTGGCAACATGCAACAGAGCTTTTGATAACCACTTTTATATATTAGATTACATGTGACAGATTAGGCTACTCGTTTCTAGCCAGGCTAGGGCCACCTAGTGCCTCCACTCAATTTAATTTCTCTCCAGCAATTAGGTCAGGAATCAAAATACACTAGACGGTTCCGAAAACCCCCAGAAGTGTGAGTTCGGGCACCAGCCAATCAGCGAAGAGCCATACATTCTGTGTTGTCAAGGATTCCCAAGATTGAGGATTTAAAGACGGAACAAAGAGAATGTTTTGTGAATTTTATCAAGGGGGAAAGACGTTATTAACCTTCTTCCTAAAGGATTTGGGAAAAGCTTAATATACCAGTTAGCCTCATTGGCGGTGCATTACATACGTGATGACCAAATAGCAGTGATTGGTTGAATGATAAATTGAGCCAACAAATTCTAAGCAGCATATGCACACATGAGTTGCACTAAGTTAATTCCGTAACTGTTACATTGCAACCATAACGCTAACATTAATGACTCAGAGCGGTGAAACATGGCTATCTTAATCTATCTATCTGTCTATCTATGTAACGAGCTGAGTCTTCCACACCCGCCCCAAGTCCACCCTGTCACACTTCTCCAGACTGAGGAGGGCGTTTTTATTAGGCCTATCATTTGATAAGATGCATTTAGAACCATTTCAATAGAATGAATGTAAAATGCATTTGTTCAAAATATCAATAATGCATAGCCAGTATCATATTTACTCTTGTGTATTTCTGTTTGTCTTAAAAGCATTTAATAGTAACACTAGTGTGCAGTTAGCAGGTTGTTGTTAGCGGTGGTGTAATGAAAAAAAAAAAAAACACAATCAAAACAAAAATCTATACAAATTTTGATCAAATATATACAAAAAATCAGGTACAGGACTTTTAACTTTCTAGGACCAGGGCACGACAGAGTAAATTGGTATTGCATTTTAGGCAAAAATAATAATAAATAAAACTACATGTGTGGTCAAAATGACCCCTGAAGTGAAGTTACACGCAGATTTCCAAAGAATCCAGCAGCTCTGTGATGAGTGGGCTGCTGTAGACTCAGGAGGTATTTCCATGGAAACACACAAAGCCTCATTGAACAGCCTGGAACAGTGACTTTGGCTTTTCTCTTGGCTGTGATAAACTTTTCTTAAACTCATATGGCTGTTTTGAATCCCACAAAACTCTAGATGTTAAAGAAAAGTAAACTTACTGAAGCTGAAGCCTTGTTCCAAAAAGAGCGCACCGTATTATTGACGCAGCTTGTCCATCCCGGACAGTCAGAGGTGAAGGTGTCTGCAACAGAACACAGTAGTCTCCAAGTTAGACCTGTTAAACCTGTTCCACTTGGCTCCATCACAATATGAAATGTTGAAGTGAAATATATTATTACAGAAAATTTTACAATAAATGATAATACTGAGAACCACATTATTCAAAATCACTCTAAAACTTGATAATCCAAGCAAATCGTTTCCTAAATGAACAATATTGTAAATAATCTGAGCAATTAAACAATATGTAGCCTGTGAGCTACAATCATAGCTGAACCTGGGTTGCCAGCGTCTTAACCTGCGTGTAGAGGACACATCATTCTCAGAACATGTCTCATGTGAAGCTCACTCACTGAGCTCAGGCTGCACTAGCAGCAATAGGCTCGATTCACACTTATGACACAACCTTATGACACAAACCAGGAAGAAAGATGCTATAGCAAATTCTGGTGTAGTTCCCAACACTGGACTCGCTGACTGACTGTGATAAAACCCACTGAAGTAAATGTGATCAGTGGTAAAATGAAGACTGTATACATATTTGCTGTTTGGGATCATCTTGTATTTGGCGCCTCATCTCTTCTAATCACATGAACCCAGTGCACTCAGAGTTGTGTGTCAGTGGGGAAATGATGAAAACTGAGGTATGGTTGTAATTGTTGAGTAGCTGAACATAACGGAGCACTAAAATGACATGTAGATGAAGAAAACTGGGTCATTTTCTCAGTTTTCCTAGAAGAGAGCCCGCTGGAAGTTGTAATCGCATCTTTCTAAACGTCTTCCTGTTTGTGATATAAGGATGAATACAGCCTATTATTGTTTGGCTGCAGGTGCTGAGGTGCAAATTTTTGGTGCTTGGACACATTTTCCATTGATGGCAAATGTATGTCCCATACATGTATCATGTAGATTTATGACATTTCAAACATTCATTCTGCATACCCTCCCTAGAAGTAGTAATCTTGTATGTCTAATGACAATGAGTTCTAGATATGTCAAGTATTCAAACTTCTACAAAACAAGTAGCAAAGTACCACATTGCTCTACTAAATAAACATCTATATAAAGTCTAATTCTATTGGTTTGTCTATAATTTCAGTTGCAATTTAAGGGCCAGTCTGTATGTAGTAGTAGTCAAAACTGCCAGAAGTTGAGCAATGTGGTCATTTAGCATAATGACACTACTTTTTTTGTAAACCAGTCAGTAAGTCAGTCTGATAAGTTAGAATGACGAGTGGAACCTTCACGATTCTTAAATATGAATCAAAGGTTGTGTGTGGCTTGATACTGAATTTATTATCTGTTAATCATTTAAACATTCTTGACAAGAATACAGATCAAGGTTGTGGTTTTGTTGAATTCCAACAAAACAACAACCTTGATCTGTATTCTTGTCAAGACAACAAAATAACAACCTGACAACACACACTTTTTCACTGTTTTCAAAAATGAAAGTAAGCATTGACCTTGGTACCGTCGTTTATTATGACTAGTTCAGATGCTTTCTTCTCATATCACTCTGCAGTCCTTAAACCACTATTTCCTTTGTGAAGCGCAACTTTCATTTGCTTTCACTTTAGTTAGCATATTACAACTGATGGATTATTAGGAAACTAGGCAGGAAAGAGGCCAGTCACATAGTGTGAGCTGATGCTGTCAGGCAGAAAGTATAGGGTGTCAAGCTGATTCAAACATTCTTTTGTGACATTAGCTATCAATCTGCTAAACTCTGAGAGCACAGTTGAAAAATAAAGTAGATTATAGACAAATGACATGCAGGCACCTCTTGCATAAAGGCTTAGAGAATGTGCAATCAAAACTGCACATAGACTTAGAAAATGTGCAATTATTAATGGAACATGGGACTTTGAAATGCAAGCCTGTATGGAGTGACTTAAAGTTCCCCTGGTGGTGTATTACTCGTGGTGATTCTTAGTCTCTTATTAATGTTCAATGGTGGATGTTGCTTATGTTGCTGTGGTGTCTTTTCTTTGTGCTAAAGCATGTGACCCCCTGTACTAAGACACATTTCTTCCATGGGAGACAATAAAGTTATCTCTTATCTTAAGTTAACATGTAGCTACATCAGACATAGGTCAGTTTACCATTGTTTATACTTAATTTGATCTTTTGCTCTCCTCAGGCTTCAGTAGGCTTCAGTTATATTGTCAGTAGCCAACACTACAGTACTACAGTAATCCTTTCCGTAATCTTTGCATCAGTTGGGTCCAAACTTTTTTCATCAAGGGCCACATATCTAAACACAGACGAAGCAGAGGGCTGATCGAGGGCCGTAGACTGATGCTCAGTACAGTGAATAACTGAAATATGTGCATGTTTAACACGTTAGAATGAGCCATCAGTCTTTATCCACGCTAAAATCCTCTTAAATACTAGCTTTATCAAGGTAGATTTTCAAAATCTTGCAGTAAAAAGTAAAATTTTAATTGATGCAAGGTAATTTGGGCCAGTTCACCTGGAAGCCGGAGGACCAATAGTCAGGGCCATAGTTTGGACATTCTTGCTTTACATGTATAAAATTGGAGTTGGGCACATTTGCATCCAGCAGTTTTGAAAAGTGGGTCCTGATTTGAAATTTTCACTTATTAGTTACAAGTCAGGGGTCTGTTTTTAAATGTTCCTGAGGGCCAATACACACCAACGTTGTAAAACCTGGTCCACAAATATAAATGTTGTATTTGTTGGAGAAAAAAAAATCAATGAACCATTCATTTGACAGCCTTTGAAAACAAGTGATGGTGCAAACACATTTCTTTCTGTCTCTACTGTATTTACTGTATACCACTCTTACTCTTCCTCTCTATCTTTTCATTTTTAGTACTCCACAGACACTCCCCTCTTTTCTACTTCTCCTCCCTTTTATCATTTGTTATAATGAATAGAAAGTGGCACTGCAGTTTAAAAATATCCAATAGCTGCCAGCATGCCTTGCTCTACAATGTGAACCAAGATTTGACAAACAAGCTGGAATGAGCTGTGTGCACATGATGTGGTCACAGGTCACTGTCAGTTTATGAGATGTACAGATAGTAAAGACAAGGTTAAGGAAAACTGTAGTCTGAACCTGGAACTTCTAAAATCAAGCCAATCTTTACCAACAAACTTGTTTTCTATTACAGGTTTTACATTACGCAAAACTGACTCCTGAGCTTTAGGCCATGTTATAATGTTACCTTCTCAAAAACAGACCTGGAGTTGTCTTTTGTTTCATTCACACGTTTGAGTAACTCTCTGTTCCACCTTGTGATGTCATGTAGTGGTAGTTTTCAAGTTAACAGCTATCTTGTACCTTTTTGCTCAGTAAATTGGCAATTCCAGAGCTGAAATTATCCAAATGATTCTAGTGAAGATGTATGTTTGAGTTTAAAACACAGTTGAGAAGAACTCATCCTAAATATGCAGGGTTTGTGTGTTTAACATGTGTAAATGAAACAAAACACAACTCCAGATTTGCTTCTAATGAGGAAACAACATTACAGCATAGATCAGAAAACTGTGTAATATGGGCCTTTTAAGTATGATAGAATTTTCAATAAACATGCCCAATACTTTTTCCCATCATTTTAATCATAAAATATGACATAGTAAATCTATGGACATCTGATGTCATTTCTTAGCATATGTGGATAACTTGTTACCTTCATCTGGTGAGAATTGCATGCTACCTGAGAAAAGTGCACCCATTACAGTGTTTTTCTCACCTTTGCTGCCCTCTTTGCCGCACCAGGTCAACCCGTCCAGAAGCGATCCCAAAAACGTGTCTTCGATGGTGATAAAGCACTCTCTCTTTGAGGTGAAATCATGGACCACATTTTTAGTTTTGCTCCAGAACATCATCTGAAAAATTAGGCCAACTGAAAGGTTATTGAAAGCTTCATTTAAAACCTTGCATATAATAATGCAAAAAATTCTCATTAGTGTGCACCTATATTATGAGTTCAAGGTCTTTTGTTTCAACTTGGCTCCTTTTGGCCCCAGGACGCCCAAAACCCCATTTCTGAACCAAGCCTCAGATGGAATTTTGTGACTGAGTCAAAAGCGTGACTATAGTCAAAGACAGTGTGTCACAGTAATGAAGACTGGATCAAAAAGTTGTGAATTGTTCCAAATGTTTTGCATTTTGGGGGGGCTAAAAGAGAGGCATGGTCAAAATCAGACTTAGCAAAAAATAACCATAGACTTTGAACTGTTTGTGGCAGATTACTATACTTTAACCGTTTATCCTTTTTGTAAAATATAGCCAGAGTAACGTGAATTTAAAGCAGCATCAATAAATTGTGAGATGTTCACTGCCCTAATTCTATTTCAGTTCAATCACTTGTTATTTATGGATACACAGTCTTGTAATATTTTGTGAAATGTTTGCTCATTTCTGTTTTTTTGACCCCGTTCTGGTAAAATGCAGGTAAATTCTCTGGTCAGGCTGCATGTGTGAATGGGGCTCTAGAGACAGGTAGCTGGTGTTTACCCTGTTGCAGGCAGGTTTGAAAGGAGTAGCGTCCATTAAAGCTTGGTAGGAGTCTGGAGGCACCATGCAGGGATCTTTGCCAACGTAGGCTTGTTCGAAAGCATTCCATGTCCGTTCACAGTCATATCTGCAAAAAAGAAAAAATAAAGTTGTGTTATTTAACTTTTTTGGCTGCAGGGTCCACAACCTCATTGTCTCCATGGAGTTATTATCGATCTGTCTGTAATATTCTCCACAGTTTGGCATTAAACGTACTTATTGACACAAGCAGGTGGTGCCATCATTCCAAGCAACAGATCAGATCAGTGGAGAGGCAAGCACACTCAAAGTATTGTACATTTTTTAACACTAAAACACCAGAAGGATAATTTAGAAGTGATACTGGTTTACATGATGAACAGAGGTGGGAACAAGTTGTTGTTTTGCAAGGCTCAAGTAAGTCTCAAGTCTTTGACCTCAAGTCCAAGTCAAGTCCCAAGTCAAAGACAGGAAAGTCCAAGTTGAAAATCGAGTCACTGGCCCCTAATTCCAAGTCAAGTCCAAGTCAAGTCCAAGTCAAATCCAAGTCATCTGCTTTGAGCTTCAAGCCATTTCAAGTCTTTAAACCAAAGTACCAAATATAGCTTTGTTTTTTGCAATTTATATGACTTTTAAGATAAACTATAAAAAGTAACTGTATATTTCTATATGAGTATTTATATAAAAGTTGTAGAAATGCAAATTTTTCCTTTTTAAATGTCTTGACAAGATCTTAGTGTGAATCATTATGGTCAGAATAGAAAGAGTAAGATTTAAAAGTTTTGTTTCATTCAGATATGTTCAAGTAACCCATTATTAGTCTGTCTACATCTCCATAGCTCAAAATGCTCCTCAGTCCTAATTTTAGTGAAGGTGCATGGGGTTTAAAAACACAGTGGAGCACTTCCTGTATTACCACATGACATCACAAGGTTGAATAGTGTTTTCCATTTGGGAGAAGAACTAAAGTAACGACTAACAGAGCCTAAATATGCATGATTTGTGTTAAACATGTGTGAATGAATAAACAGAACTCGAGGTGTGTTTTTGATGAGGACCACCCACATCCACCCATATTTTGAGTTAAACCATAGACCCTTTGTATATTCAATAAGATCTTTAATTAGTCTGACATAGCTAAAGAATAAAATGAAAACTAACCAAACCCTGCGTAAGTGCCCTCATATTTACCTGCCCAATACATGTAAACTTCACCATTGTTGTATTACAGCTGTATCTGCTAGTTTCGAGTTTTCGAGTAACCGAGAAACTCACTTAACCGCACAGCATTGCTACCTCTGATTGGACAAAGCAGTGATTCCATTGATTCTCCCATTTTGTTTGGCCAAAATCACAATTATAGGCCTAATGCATATCTGGCACAGTCTTCAGCCACAAGAGCCAGACTTAATTTCTACTCAGGCTGGATTACTTTTTATTTTTAAAGATCCTATATTACACAAAATGGATTCTTGTGAGCTTTTGAGCTTTAAGTCATATTATAATGTTGTTGTTACTTAATCAAAACCATACTTGGAGTTGTATACATCGTCAGCTCTGATTGGACAAAGACAAAACAAAACTATGCACATTGATTTTTTTACTTTTACTTACAACTTTGGCAGCAGTGCTTGTAACTGAATACATTTTAAGCATATAACTGTAGGCCTACTTTTACTTGAGTACACATTTGCAGTAGCCTACTCCACTAATATTGCTTCTACATTTTTAGGGTAACCATGTGGGTTCCTCTAATTGCAAATAAGGCATGTGAAAATTTTGTATCCCATTTCGTGCAGAATGAGTCATTCAAGAGTGTATGGACATTTGAGAGATTTGACACTTAAGATAAGTTATAGGTATGCAGGGTAACAAAACCTTAAAAACACTGACCCATATCCACAAATAGAACCTATAAAAGAGCTATTTTGAGAGACAGCAACAAGCTTTACGCACTCACCCTCCTTCGTACGCTTTGCATCGAGACGTAAAGACGGCTTTAAATGCCTCATGCTCGGACGTTCTCCTCAGAGCTAGCGCCAAAACTACAATAACCACGATCACTAAAATAACCACAATTATCCCAAAAATGATCCTAATGATAGGTCGAACTCTCCTCTTCCTTAGCTTTGGTCTTTGTCCTTCCTCCTCCATTGATAAAAACGCTACTGTAAGCCTGTGCGCGTTATCCGGGTGTGCAGGTGCAGTGGAGTTGGAATTGTTTTGCTGTACCCTGACCGGTGTTCCCGTCGCTTCTGGATATTTATTTACAAGAACCAGCGCAGTATGTCCGAGCGCACCGCCTCTGTACCAATCAGGAACGCGCAATACGCAAGCTTTACGCACGGGCCAATACGGTATAACTGTTCGCTTTTTAGGCTTTTACTTTGGAACTTGAACATATCTTTACAAAAGAGGAAAAATCAATGACTATTTAAGTATAAATGCAAACACACGTAGAGTATTTGTATTAAAGTATACTGTTAAAAATGTACTTATAGAGTCAAAAGTAGAAGTATTTCGCGCATATTTTGAGGTCTTAGCTTCAAATGCAGAGATTTTGATCAAACTTATAAAAATACTTTTACATTTCCATCTTGTTCAAAAATGTTGTGTAGAAGGTACAGATGCATGCTTTCAAATGTACTTAAGAAAAAGTAAAACGTATCCCCTTTAAAATCTACTTAAGCAAAGTATACACACCTAAAATGTATACTTACAGTATTTTACTACTTAGTTACATTCCATCACTGAATATTAGCTAATGAAGTGGAAAAGTAGACAAAATTATAAGCTTCAGCTTACTGTATTTACCTTATTTTGTGTTATTTGCTTGAATGGCCTAAAACAGAAACTGGGCGAGCCTGTTATTGTTACGCAAATGTTGTATTTAATCAAAATCAACGCATTCTAAAGCTAAGTAGCCTATTTAAACGAGGTTAAATGTAGTCATAGTAAGAATTTAAATAGTTTTTTTTTTTTTATAGTAGATTCTAGGAAAATGGCATAAAATTTACTGGTTAACAAAATATACTCTATGCTTTGCTCAAATTTTCTGTGTGTGTGTGCATGAAAAGATCAGAAAATTCAAAAAGAAAAAAATCTGAAGATTCCGTATTATAGCTTTTCTGCGCTCCAAAATAGTTGTACCTTTAGTCAACATTATTGTTTGGTATGTGGAGATTTGCAGTGTCCTTTGCTATACTACTTTTCTCAAATAACTCATTTTCTGAATTGGATAAAAATGGTTCAGACAGCTGTCATCTGAAGAAAAAAGGCCACTGCATTTTAAGTAGTTTCAAAATAGTGCATCATTTAGATTTTTTCCACTGTATTTTGGTCTATAAATGAACACTTGATGCTTTCAGCAAATCATTTGTACTCCCACATCTTTATACCATATCCTCATCAAAAACATGTATGAAGTGGTTTTATATGTCATCCATGCATGTTTGAGGAATCTAGCGATCTCTCCCAAGCCCTATACAAATGCTTCTCATAGTTAGTGGTGCAAGAGCATGATACAACACACTACAACTTCACAAACCTGATGTGGAGATGTGCGATGTGCAGTGAAACTTATTATTTTCATACATTTTAAGACAATAAAGTTATGTGTAACCCCATAGAAGTATAATGCCCCCTCTGTGTGTTTATGTTGTTAAGACTAAGGTTTAGGTTTATGAGGTTTAGACTAAGAGGCAATGCTGCAGGTTCAACTCTTACACGCCTATATGTCCCTGAGCAAGTCACCTCAGCAGTTTGTCCAGTTTTATTCAAACAATGTGACAAAAATGTAAAGAGTGTAAGCAATAAAACAGGTTACAAGAACACAAAAATGTTAATTGAGGTGTGTGAATAGTGTGCTTTTCAGCTTTGTCACTCTGCATGAATCCTGGCTCTGAATGCATTGAAGCATCATCAGCATCCTGCAGGGGTGAACAAAAAAAAATCTGTATTATTTTTCAGAAAATAACACGCTCTACAAGAACTTTAAAGGCACACTGCGTAACCTTTCTGGTGGAAGGAACGGTATATCTGCTGCTTGCATCTATAGAGATGTTATTGCTTTGTTGTTATGTTTTGCAGCATGGCATTGAAAATGTCAACCAAAAATACCTTGAAAGACATGATTTTTTACTGTGAGCAGGGTCGCTTCTCCACAGATCTGATCTGATGGAGCTGCATGGTTGTCTCTATGGAGCTGGGGTTTGAAAGCCGTACTGTGGAACATTTTGGACACAATTCACACAAAAGTCATGGATTCCAACCAGAAAAGTTGTAGTGCAGCTTTCCTCATCACAAACATACCTGGAGTTGTTTTGTTTCATTTGCACATGTTTAACACACAAATCCTGCGTATTTAGGTTCTTCCTTAGAAAGGAAACTGTGGTAATACCGGAAGTGCTCCACTGTGTTTTTAAACTCTATACACTGTCACTAGGATCAGTTGAGACCAGGAATTGACAATCTGTACTGAACAAAATCTTAAATGTAACTTGCGATGGAAATGTATATTGTGGAAAAAATTCTCTCCATCAGTCTTTGTGTAAATCACATTCATTTACACAAAGACTGATTTCTACCTGAAACCAGACCAGTCATTAACATGTGTAAAGGCTCTGGAGATACAACTGTCCCCACCCCACAGGAAAGGCTGTGTTGTCTTACCTGTCCTCAAACATTAAATTGAGTTGTGAAACAAAAGTTACTCTGCTATGTAAGTAAATTCCTGTATAAATACTCAGAGCTCAGATGCTCTGGGGGAAGATAGAGAGAAGGGTGACTGGAGAGAAGAGACAGAAGGGGCAGTTGGTCTCTGACAGGTCACGCCTAGGCCTTGTCCATATCTGCATTGACAAGAATAAACCTTCTTCTGTATTACAAAAACTCACCAGGCTTTGCAAATTGATTCATTTTTTATCACCAAAAAAGATATATAATTTTTTCCACAACAAGCTGTTATTTGAAAACTACCACTACATGACATCACAAGAAGTATTCTGAGTACTGGAGCTGTATATAGACTAATGAATCAGGATCACTCAAACATGTGCAAAAGAACAAAACACAACTCCAAGTATGTTTTTGAGGAGGTAATAAGATTATAACATGGCTTAAAGCTCAGAAGAATCTATTGTAAATAAAGTAAAGTTAATCTGACATATACAGCCAGATTCAAGATTCAGACTTTGCATTATCTTTTAAATTTTTGGAGTATAGATTGAAAAAATAAATGTTATACATATATATTATATATATATATATTTTCAGATTATATCATGACTTGAATAATCACAATTGAAACAGGAACACAGAATGAGACTAGGACTTGACCGATCCTGAACACTTCCAGGATGAAACATAACCTACATCATACGTAACCACATCTAATAATCCTGGGACTACTTTTTTATCAGTAATAAAATGTACTGGTCATTGTCCGTGCACGTCCACCGGAACCCCCTCGTCTGGAGAATCTGAATCAACTCCACGACAGATCCTTGGCTACACGACTCTCTGCAGACATTAAGTCAAAATATTAGTTTCTTTATATATCTAACAATGTAGTGTGTGAATATGTTTACAATTCCAACTCACATCTGGGGTCCCATGAGGCTGGCTACCACATGTATATTGACATAATGGACCCTTTGTGGGCTGAGGCTATCCAGTTCAACACTTCCAAACATACTGTGAAATGGCCCAAAGCTGTTCTTGAAAGATGATATTCAAAAGACATTATCTGTATTGTTTGTGGTTATACCTCGTTCTGTTGAAAGCGACACCAATGGATCCGTTCAGAAGTACGGTGACGTTGCCGCAAGCCATTTCTGCGAACTAAAAATCAATAAGGTCAGATAAGATTCTAATTTAAAGGGTCCATATTATGCTATTTTCTGATAAATGTTATTATGTTGTTTCCTCATCACAAACATACTTGGAGTGTTGTTTTGTTTCATTCACACATATTTAATACACATACACAAATGGTTAATACACAGAATCATTTTGATCAGTTCAGACCTGGAATTACAGATTTCTACTAATTAAAAGGTAAAAGGTAGTTGTGCAGTTGAAAACTCCCGCTTCATGACATCACAAGGTGGAACAGAGCATTTTGAGCCTTGTAGATATAGACAGCCTACTGTAATTTCCAGCCTATAATCTGCTACTTTTTTCTCACACTTTGAACTGTAATATATGGATGGATTATTTGTTTGGCACGTTGTCCATTCATATTTATGGTGTATGGTTTGGCAACACAGTGAATACACGTGCAGCCTGAGTGCAGAAAAAGGCGCTGTCTGCGCGGTTAACATGAAGTTGCAATATTAACACTGCTGACAGCACTAAAACAGTTTATCGACGTATGATAAAAGAAGTTATGATGCTAAATGAACATTATTGAGGGAGACACATCTTAATGATCCATATACGTTAAATGCAGGTGAGCGTGTAAATGACGAGAAGAAACGTCTCAAACTTCAGTAGCCGGACATCCACTCATACCTGATCAATACAACTAGCCCCGCCCCCTGAGAGCCTGAAATCTGCTGAAATCCTAAGAGATACAGACTGGACAGTGGCTCTTTTTGCCGGAGACATGCGCATTAGAATGCAGGGAGGGACGGGGTGACGTGCCGAGGAAGATGCTCATTTGATTCTGTTTTGAACAGTTATTTAGCGCTTCATACACACACCCAACTCATGGAAAACACACAAAGAAATGCAGATGATACAGCTTTTAAGTAAAAGGCAATTGATGTGGCTGTGAAAGAAGGAAACAGAGCTGCTGGTGAGCTTGGCATAGCGTGACAAACTGACTCAATGCAAAAAGATGACAAAAGCTTCCAGAGGCGAAAGCAGACAGTCCAAACTTGAAAAACGTTCTTGAAGACGTAGACACCTGCAGCTTATATTTAGATGTGGCCAATACATGTAAAAAAAAAAAAAAAAAATAAATTCTTTTAAAATTTTGTTGATGATGATATTCAGGTGCACTTAATAGTCTGGAATTATGGTAATAATAAAGGTGTGAATGAAACTGTGTGAATGAAACAAAACAAAACTCCAGATATGTTTTTGATGAAATAACAACATTCTTATGACTAAAAGCTCACAAGAGTCAATTTTGTCTAATATAGAACCGTTAGGCAGACATTTTTTATAGGGAGACACTACAGGCATACACATTTTAGTTTTTTTGCTGTGAAGGCTACTGTACCTTCTGGTGGAGCTCAAGGTTTTGTTAGAATGTATGAATTTGTGATACCTACCATATATCATGTCTATTTTCATATTCTAGTGTTATTGAAACTTTGCAGCTCATGTCATCAATGATCCCTGGGAGTGTGACGCTAACTGTAAGCACTGCTCTATCTGTGTCTTGTAAGACTTTAATCTGAGCTTTATTATATTTTAACACCATCTGAAGAGAAAGAGCAGGTTTAAATGGAACTACAACTTTCTTGAGTTTTGAGACTATCTTAAAACATACAATTTTTGCATATATGTTGTACAGCAACCCAGTGTTTACCCATATGCTAATAATCACATATATAAAGACTTCTTGCTGAACTGGATGCTGTGGGCAGGATGTGGTTTGATTTGCCCTTCCTCAAACTGACGGGCGCAGGTGCAAACACAGATGAAAAGTGCAATAGTGTCTGTGTACAGTGGTGTAGAAAAGTGGGTGAGTGGGTGAAAGGTTCTGTGATGTAAAGCACTTTGAGTGCTTTAAAGGTGGAAAAGTGCTGTATAAAAATGTGACTATTTACCATTTACTAATATATTAATAATGATGCACTATGTAGCTTTTTTGGTACAAATCCAGCACCTGATTTTGTCATCTTAGATATGCCAGGGAGATTATTTTTTGTGGAATGTATCACAGTACAGTTGCATTAAAGGGACAGTCTGGAATTTTGGACATGTTGAATTTTGGAGAGTGTTGGAGACATGTGGAGACACTTTTTTAAACATTCCATCCAGTCCTTGTATTTGCAGAGGTCGCTGGTGCTAGGCTAGTGCATGTCAATGGTCATAGTTAGCCTGCCACTAAAAACACTTACTCACTCCACAAAACACCCGAAGCAAAATAATTATAACTCCAGACTGTCGATGTGAATGTCTGTGTCAATAGAATCATTTTAGAAGTCAAACCAACCTTGCATTTGAAGGATTTTTGTCTGAGCAGCAGCAGCGATTTGTACTTCCTGATACAAATCTTGGCAGCAGTGGACTGATATCACCTAGCACCTTCAGCTGCTGCTGAGAAAATAGTCCCTCAACATGCAACGATTCATGCGATCCAAGGTTAATTTTATTTCAAACATTATTCTATGAATATAGACATTTACATCAACAGTCTGGTGTAATAATTGTTTTGCTTCGGGTGCTTTGTGGAGTGGGTAAGATTGTTTTTAGTGGCAGGCTAACTATGGCCATTGACATGCACTAGCCTAGCACCAGTGACCTCTGCAAATGGATGGATAAAAATAGTGTCTCCACATGTCTCCAACACTCTGGCTCACTAGGAAATGAGGTCCTATGTCCAAAATTTTTAACTGTCCGTTTAAACTCATTTATGATATAATTCTAGGTGTATTTATTATTATTATTATTATTATTATTATTATTATTATTATTATTATTATTATTATTATTATTATTATTTATATTTGTTTTTTACAGTACAACAATACCTTAAAAATACACATTCTACTGTTAAGTAGGGCCACCTCTCCACAAATCGCAGTTGTAAATTGGCATGGTGTTTGTCTCCATGGAAATAGATGAATAGGTTTAATATCATACTGTGAAAAATTTCAAGCAAAGCAAAAACATCTTACACAGTGCACCTTTAATGTTTAATGAAACAATATGCAGTTGAGGACATATACTGACCAGCACTTGTTTTGCTTTGTCTAAGAGGTAGGGACCTTGGGCACCTGGGCTCTTCTGTGGAACATATGATGCATCTCCAAAAATACAGACTTTGGTTATTCATAGTTGATGTTTGGACACCATCTTTAAAGGTGCATTGTGTAACTTTTATGGTGGAGGGTCCTTCTTGAAGGTGTTTTTGCTTTATCTGGAATGTTTCACAGTATGGTATTAAACCTTTCTAACTTCAGGGAGACCAAACCAGACCAAGTTACAGGTGAGATCTGTAGAGAGGCGACCCCGCTCACAGTCAGAACACCTGTTTTTCTAATTGTAAGTGTTTTTGAGATATAAAATCACCTGTAATTTACTAAATATAAGGTAGAGCTGTTTAACGTCATACTGTGGAACATTCCAAGCAGAGTAATGATGTATCCACAGAAACAAGCAAGTGACGGACCCCCAACCAAAAAGTTACAAGGGGAATAAATTCCAAAAACATGACCTTTGATTCCAAGAGAGGTGATTGGGGCTCGCATATAACTGTGGTGATACCTACACAGGGCCTGCAAATTTCAGCAAGACCCTAACTATTCTTAAAACTCAGTAAATGTGAACAGTGAAATATGAATTTTTAGGCAATTTATTTTACTCAGTTACTAAATAAGATATCCAAACCTCTCCTCATAAATGTTTTTGCCTCCACAACAAGATGATGCAACAAATTCAAACCTGGCTCCATCCATTTTGAGATTCATGTGTCCCAAAAACGTTGAGATAAAAGATTTTTAATAAATTTCTTCTAATATTTATGTAGGTAAAGTACAGAAGAAGTTTCAAATTGGCATCTCCAAATTTTTCCTATTCACCTGCAGTGTCTCCTTCTTTTTTTTTTTTTTTTTGTGCCTTACATTCTGTGAAGCCAGTAACCAAAGGGAGTAGACAGGGTGATTTTGGCAAGACGACCACTCTGGACATGCTCCGAAGTCGAAATCTGGGTCAAAGACACAGCTGTGAGTTACCCTGGAGACTGTAGTTCAGGACTATTCAACTACGTTTTCTTGAGAGACCAGAGGGGGCCAAATACGATCCCAGGTTTAAACTAATACTAAACCAGGACCAAACCATGAGATATTATATTTTGTAATATTTGATCGATAGGCTCGGGTCTTCAGTTGAAAGAAAAGCTATAGGTTGGAGATTTCGGTTACATTCTCCCAGGTGACGGAAAAAAGTTTAGATCGATATATTTACTGCAGTGTTTTTTTTTATGAGGAGGTAACAACATTATAATGTGACTTAAAGCTCTCAAGAGTCAATTTTGCATTGCATTTAGCTATTTGAGATCATTCCCTTTTATCAAACTTATTTTGTTTTCAGTGTGCTTTATTTTGTGGCTGCACAGAGAGGCCTCCTGACTCACCCGTGTCCTCGTGTTGCCTGCACCACATGAGGTCATTGAACATGTATCCCACCAGCGTGTCCTCCAGAGTCCAGAGATGTGGTAAAACTGCGGCGTAGCTGTGCACAAGAGCCCGGGTTTTACTCCACAACAGAGACTGCAACGCACACGTCAACACACAAGTTTCAGCATTTTTAATATTGCTGCATTTGATATAAGAGAACCATGTTGGACACTCAATGATGGACTGACGAAAGGGAGGCTGCCTACAAGCGCCATCTGACCTAACAAATCACTCACAAATCACATTCGTTCACGGTGGGTTTTCATGCTTCTTAAGGACATTACATTGACTAGCATTCATTTCATGGAAACTGATAATCTTAACCATGGTCGCTACTTGTCTAACTCTAACCTAACCTTAACCCAGGGGTGTCAAACTCAAATTCACAGAGGGGCAAAATTAAAAACGGACTAAGTATTGATTGAAAAATCTCAGCAACATGTGCATGTTTTCTCTTCTTTCGAGATATGTAATGTTAAACCTTCTCTTATGAGAATAAATGTTTAATAATAGATTTGCTTAAACATTGAATCTAGAACAAGCATAATATAAAAATAATAACAACATTTTAAATAAGTAATGTCTCTATAGTTTATCTGTAGCCGGTGGGCCATCTCTAATACATATTTGATATGATCTCGCAGATAATATCAAATATGCCAAATTTGGCCCCCAGGCCTGAGTCTAACATGTCTGCCTTAACCAAACTTTACCTTAACTTAACCCTAACCTAACTTTCACCTAACCCTAACTTAACTTTAACCTGACTTTAACCTAAACTTAACCTAACCTGACCTTAAAACTAACCTTGCCTAATTTAACCTTAAACCTAACTTTAATCTAACTTTAATTTTACTTTAACCAAACCTTAACCTAACCTTAACCTAGCCTTAATCTAACTTTAAACTAATTTTAATATAACCCTAATCTAACTTTAACCTAACTTTAACCTAACCTTAACCTAACCTAACTTTAACATTAAAGGATGCCATTATGGGGACCTGATTTCAACCTCATAAAAGAAAAGTAGGCCAACACTGATTGATCATGTATATGGATTTCATTCAAGACAAATGAATGGATCACGACCATTTGACCAAAACAGAACACTGTCACAGGAATGAGATCACGATTTAGATTTTTTTTCCACCATGTTGCCTCAAGCTAACATTAGTCCAGCTGGCTATAGCGTTCATCGTCCAGCTTTGGCCAGAGCCCCTTGATCTGATGTTTATCTTACTGTATCACAGGGCCAGTTTTGGGTCATCAGGTGAAACATCTTATGATAGTCCTCCACCGTCACGTTACAAGATGGTTGACGGAGAATCATGGTCTCGAAGTGCCACCAGATGTCTTTACAGTCATACCTGCATCGAAAGCATTACTGGTAACATACGTCAATAAATATAGGAAGACTTTCTTTCTTGTATCAACTCTCAATTCAAATGCACTCTCTCTCCTCTTTGTTATCTTGTCAGTTCAGCTACGTGAAGCAACCCTACTCCACACCATCACTACCACAGCAGAAGAACCACCAGCCTCCTCAACCTGTCCATCTCCTCTTCATCACCACAGTAATATCTTCCCTTATAAATCGTATAATATTTTATCAATGATGTCTTAATTTTACGTTAAAATGCTGTTTCCTCATCAAAATCATACCTGGAGTTGTGTTTAGTTTACACTTATTTATACATGTTTATTTATACTTATTTATACATTTATACAAACACTGTTCCACCTCGTGATGTCATGTGGCAAAACAAGAAATGCTGTAATATGTTTTTAAACTCCATACGCTGTTACTAGAATCATGTGGATAATTTCAGCCCTGGAACTGCCAAGGGTAGCTGTTAACTTGAAAACTATATTACTATATGACATCGGAAGGTGGAACAGAGCATTTTAAGCTTTGGAAATGTTGACAGAATAATAAAAAAAGAGTGAATGAAACAAAACACAATTTCATTTCTCTCCAGTGACTAGGTCAGGAATCAGAATACACTAGACGGTTTGCAAAAACCCTCGGAAGTTGTAGACCGTGCACTGGCCAATCAGTGAAGAGCTGTGAAGCCATGAAACTCAAACTCAGGTGCCTGTCTGAGTCCCTTTTGTGGTACAGCACAACAGTAAACAAAGCGGTCGAGATGGATGTAGACGAAGACATACATTCTGTGTTGGCAATGATTCCCAAGATCGAGGATTTAAAGCTGGAACAATGAGAAAGTTTGGTGAATTTTATCAAGGGGAAAGACATTATTGCCCTTCTTCCTAGGGGGTTTGGCGCAAATAGCAGTGATCGGTTAAATAAAAAAGTACCCACCTACTGTCGAGCGAACAAATCCTAATGCTGCGAGGTCAGCCGGTTTCACTTTGTGGACAAAACACAGCTTCAAGTATGTTTTTGAAGAGGTAACAGTATTATAGCATGACTTAAAGATCACAAGAGTCAATTTTGACCTTTAAACGTAGGATTGGATATACAACACAGAATACAATACAGGGAACCACCCAGTTGTCGGGTTACATTCATTGACTGGAAGAAGAATACTGGCTTGAAATTTTGGTAACTTTTTGGCACAAATTCAAGATAAACTCAAAAACTAGCTTGCTATTCATATTAAAATATTAGGTAATAATTTCATGTTCAAACTTGATTTCTAAGGAAGACTGACTTGATGACTTGATACTCAGTACGTTTACTAATCTACTTATTCTGATACTGCTCAAGATCATTCTAAAGGTATTCAGGAAAGGTTAATTTCTGTCCTGTGAATGTGACTTTTTTCGTACCGATACCTGCTCAAATGAGTATCTGAAACAAAACACGACTCCAGGTATGTTTTGAGGAGGTAATATTACAACATGGCTTAAAGCTCACAAGAGTCCTTTTTACGTAACCTTTGAGAGACTTGCTCCACCAGTTCTGATCGTTATCTACTTTTTTATTTGTTTTTCAGGCATCTCAAACGTTCTCAAACTGAACATTGCAACTGCTTACATTGAATTTTCTTTTTTTTTTTACCTTGTCCCTGGGTTAAGAGTCATATAATCGTAACATCGCCCGATCACAATGTCTCTAATGTTGGGAGTTGTTCCAAGTTGTTCTCCCAGTGGACAAAAGCAAAGCAGGATCACTATAAAGCCTTTAGAAAAACATGCAAACATCCATGACGGTTATTAGATTCTGAAAGAGCTGCACAATATTACCTAAGAAAAGAACTGCATACTCACAATTCATCACACGGAACACGGCCTGCATTTTTACTTGGAATCAAAATCGAAATGTCTTGAATTCGCTGCTACAAATCAGGCAGGTTGTAGCATGATAGTTTTCGCTTTGCCTTATAGATAATAAAAGAAAGACACGGTTATTCATTTTCAAAGGTCAAATAAGAATAAACTTTGAATGTCAAGATTTTGGTACGCTTGTGTAGTTTCTGCTATAATCCCTGCTCATTATACATTGTTAGAAATGGATGAAAGAAAGTTTTGCTTGCTTGTTTTGCTTGACCTTCTCTCAATGAGTTTCATGGTGAAGTCTCCTGAGATGGTTTTCACTTCACTGCTGGGCCATATCCGGGTCAAGAAAAACAATGATTTACACTATTTTGGACCACACGATGACAGCAGTGGCTGAAGCAAAGGGTGGATATTTTTTAGTTATTTTATGTTTAATGGATTTGTTTACTACTTTCCTTATCTGTTCATGGTTTTGATAGCCAGGCTAGCGACACCTAGTGCCTCCGCTCAATTTCATTTCTCTCCAGCGACTAGATCAGAAATCAGAATATGCCACAGTTCGCAAAACCCCAGGAAGTGTGAGTTCGGGCACCAGCAAATCAGCGAAGAGCCATATATTCTGTGTTGTCAATGATTCCTGAGATCGAGGATTTAAAGCCACAATAAAGAGAATGTTTGGTGAATTTTATCAAGGGGGATGTTATTGCCCTTCTTCCTACGGTGTAATATGCCAGTTAGCCCCGTTAGCGGCACATTATATACATCAGCGATTGGTTAAATGAAAAAAAGTACTTGCATACTGTCAAGTGAACAAATTCTAACACTGCGAGGTCAGATGGTTTCTACGAAGTGAAATCGGCTGATGAATCAGGCTAGGTTTTGAGGCCTTCGATGATAATCTACAGTGTAAATAATCATGGAAATTAAAAAAAAAAAGAAAGTGTGTTCAAACTTTTGCCCAGTAGTGTAAAATGACTTGTGTTCAATATTTCATGATTTAGGTTGTGACGATATTAACAACAAACCTACAAAAAATGCACAATTGCTACAACGTAAACCATTTAAATTTACCATCCAGACCCGCCAAAAAAAAATTGCGGGCTTGGGGCAAGAAGCCTTACATGGACCCCCTTTTAATATAAGTTAATAAGAAGAGGGTCCAATTCTGGGGGCCAGGACAACAGACCTCCCTCCTCTTTCTCAACAGTAGATGGCAGATGTGAAACCAGTTTCCTCTCCCCTCACATGGCCTTTGTTGGAGGTGGATTTGGCTGCAGACCTTCACCCAGAGGACCCAACCCTCAGACCTCCACCAGGATGACCCTCACATGACTCGCCTCTATCCCCAGGTCCCTAAACGTAAACAAACAGCGGCCAATACCAAGAACACCAAAGTCCAATGTTTCCTGGTTTTTCAATGTAACATACTAAAGTTGACATTGTTTTGCTAAAGACCCAACCCCTTTTCCTAACATTACAGATTTGGCAACACATTCACGGACAAACTACATCTATATGTTATTTGTATTTACACCATTGTAGACTACATTGCATTTACACCATTCTACATGTTGGCAGTTAAATTTGTGTTAGCCTATGTATGTAACATGCTCTAACTGCTAGTTTCCCTTTGAGTAGAGCACAAAGAACGCAAAGTTGATTTCAAAAAGGAAACCGAAATGTATTGGGATTACAGTATTTTTCAGATTATAGATCGCACTTTTTTCATGGTTTGGATGGTCCTGCAATTTACTCTCAGGTGCAATTTATTTATCAAAATATATAAATTTCACATATTTGTTTTTTTCACACTGACAGCCACGAGAGGGTGCTCTAGGCTTGTGTGTTGGGATCTGCTACTCCTATTACTACTATTACTCCTGTACCACTGAAAATGTAAAATTTAAACCTTAATATGTTACGTAAACATACCAGATGCCTATTCAGCCTGTTGTTCTCTATTCTATTGTTATTACTATAACTTTCATGATTAATTGTTTTTGGTCTCTGATTTTATAAAAATAAATCCCCTCCAGAATGAGACTTATAGTTCAGTGCAACTTATAGATGTTTTTTTTCTTCTTTATTATGCATTTTTTGGCTGGTGCAATTTAAACTAGGGAGCAGCTTATAGTCCAGAAAATACGGTATGTACAGTCTTTGAAGCGAAAAAATTTGAAATGATTTTTGTAACCATTAATAACATCTAATAGTGAACTATAAAGCAACAACTGATAAAAAATGAATGATGAGTGAGTGATGAAAAAAGTAGGTGGAAGTGCAGTGGAGGTCTGTGGGGTAGGGTCCTCTAGATGCAGCTGGACTCTTGCTTTGTTGGGGTCACCTGGTCTTCTGTCAAACCAAAACTGGCACACTATCAGACAGCAGTAACGCAGATACCATCTAGTGTTGGTACGTGAGAAGACAACAGGGGCGGGTCGGCCAATCTAATTACAAATGGTAGCTTTAAGTCTGACAAAAAACTCAACATAACTACATACTCTACTACTCAAAACAAACTGAACTTATATACCCTAACAAAACAAACCCTAACTAAATAATTTCACGCCGATATTCAGTTATAAAGAGCAAAAAAACAGCTTACCATGTTGACAAGTTTAAGGTCCCGCTAACATGCTAAGGTCAACCATTAAATCAAGCAGCCCACTGTAGCCGCGGTCTGATGTAGCCGCAAACGTCGACTAGCACATGTCTGCAGCACACAGCCCAGCCTCAGTCCTCCGCTTACAGGTTCTGAAAAGACACAAGGGGCTGTTTACCAAGTGTCCTCGCAAAGAGTGAATCCACATGACTCCAATAAAAGTGTTGACTAAGGCAGGGGTGGTGCCAATCTCCAACGCTAACGGGTCTCACAGCTCATACACCAGCTTTATTTTGATAGTACTTTTTGTGCTCTTTTGATAATACTTTCTTTTGTGCTGTTTTGATAATACTTTTTTCTGTGCTGATTTGATTCTAATTGATACTAATTGTGTATAAGACTTCACTTAGCAGGTTGGACACTGATAAAGATCCAAAAAGTTAACATCAGTGGTAATGTTGTCTATAAAATCAATCCAGATCACATGATAAAATATGTATGTATTTATTTATATAGTTAGTTATTTAGTTAGTTAGTTAGTTAATGAATTTGTTAGCTGGTAGGGGTGTGCAAAAATAGAGGAATATATATCGCATCATTTAATGCAATGATACAGTATTGATATCGGGGACTGCTGTATCGATATATCGCCAAGAATATTTTTTGGTAAATATTTGACTAAATTATTTTGTTACAGCTCTACAGTTTTGCTTCTTGTTTAGAGAAAGAAAACTTGTTTATGTGACACATTTGACTTTTTCATTGTTTTGATGATTAAAAGAAGTGTGTTTCATATTCACTTTGCGCAAGAAGACTTTTAGCATCACAGCCATGGAGGGATGTAACAGTAACCAAAATATCTTGATATCGTATCGTCAAAAGTCTCACAATAATATCATGGCTGCCACAATATATCGAATTACAAGTTTCTTTGCTTACATGTATTGTTTTATAGTAGCAACTTAGCTTATAAACATAAGGAACTACATATCCCATGATTCATTTCATTGCAGACAACATGAAGAAATATGTTTTTACTTGAATTCTTGGGATTATGATGGAAATAATTCACACCAAAATTTTGTCAAGGTATTTTAAAAGCAGAAAAGTGTCCTATCTACAATTATATTAGCCTCTTCAAAATATTGCAATAAATATCATACTGTGAGATGCATATTGTGATAATATCATACCGTGAGATTTGGATATCATTACATCCCTACAGCTATGATTTATCCGTTATTTTTTATTGAACTGAATCGAATCGATTTGAAATGTATCGCATCGAATTTAAAGTGCACTGAATCGAGATATGTATCATATTGTGGTCTGTGTATCGAGGCATGTAGCATATCGGCAACTTCTTAAGGATACCCAGCCCTATTAGGAGTTTTGTTATTTGGGGGCCTATTAGCTTCCACAGAGTTGGTTATTAGTCTTCCTGGGGTTTATTAAAATCTATATTATAACATTAACTTTCCTGATTACATAATACGTAAAATAACAAATACATTTAATGCATAGTCACAACAACATTAAAATCATCCCAGTCGTCCTCCACCCAGTTCAGTCATACATTTTTCATTTTAAAATCTTTCTAAAAACACACCTACTATACTACTATACTATATTACGGAAAATTGACTCTTGTGAATATGTAGGATTTGTGTGTTAAACATGTGTGAATGAAACAAAACACAACTTCTGTTTGTGATGAGAACACAACATTATAACATAGAGCTCTTTAATTTATCCTGTACTGTAGGAGACAGGACTGGTGCACGGTGTGGTTCAGGGTGTGGGTGTATTGCTCTGGTGCAGAGGGGGCGGGGCTCACGCGGGCAGGTGCGCGTGCATGTATGCCTGTGGAAGGATTTAAAAGTGTGCACTTACCTGTTACCCAGTTTTGACTGAGGGTCAGGGCTGAGTAGCCGTAATTTTTGTTGACCGCCACTCCTTTTCTGTACTCACCCTTTATTCTCTAACTGGTTCTATCCATCTTCTTCTCTGTGCTGGGATAGCTGTATGTCTGTTAAATAATATATAAAATGCATTCTGGATCCGAGCGTATTAGTTTGCAATAGCCTTCATGCGCGCGTCACATACTACGACCCTAGGACCCACTCTGATCTTCCCGAGCGGCTATAAGGTTGGTCAATAAGCCGCTATATGTACTTTTAATCAAAATAAAGTGGTATCTCACTCACATAAGTCCTATAAGAGCAACTAAGGGCTTCGCGTGGCAGTTCTATTTTGGGCACTCTTCAATTAAATTACCTGGCATAATTTAATGTGACTAATGGACAAAGTGCTTTCCATCATAAACACTCTTGGATATCATGGATATCATCTTGGATATCATGGATATCATCTAGGTTATCATCTTGGACATCATAGATACTCCTGCTCATGCACTGCACCAGACTATAGAGGGACAGATAATACTCCCTACAACTATACAGCAATTCACCCACTACACCAGATGATAGAGGGACAGAGGAGCTCATTCTCCAACAGGCTCTTACAGCTTCACTCAAACAGTGAGATACAGGACAACATTCATACTATAATACTCCCTACAACTGTACAACAACTCACCCTTATATAACGGATAACCCTATGTCCTGTTACTCATCATATCATTGTTGCACTATTTTCCTAAGACCTCTTGTATAAAACTGTGATTTTATATTTTATTACTTATCGTTTCTATTTTATTTTGACTTGTATATTTACATTTATATAATTATGTCTTATTTGGCACCTGCCTCTTTTTGCTACTTGTTTAGAATTAGTTTTACCATTTATATTTTTGCTCTGTTATTATATTATATTGTGATGTGTGAGCCAAAGGTGGGACCAAGTTGTTTTGCAAGTCTCTAGTAAGTCTCAAGTCTTTGACCTCAAGTCCGAGTCAAGTCCCAAGTCAAATACAGGCAAGTCCAAGTTGAGTCTCAAGTCACTGGCCCATAAGTCCAAGTCAAGTCCAATTCATCTGAAGTCTTTAAACCAAAAAAGTACCGAATATAACTTAGATTTTTTTCTATTTATATGACTTTTAAACTAAATTGTACTTAAATAGTCATGGTATATGAGTATTTATATAAGAGTTGTAGAAATGCTACTTTTTCCTTTTTAAATGTCTTGACAAGTCTGTGAAATACTGTGGTCAGAATAGAAAAAAATAAGATTTAAAAGTGCTGAATAATATTTTGTCTGCACTGAAATTGAAGAATCATGTTCTGTGTAGTTCCCACTGTTTTACTGTATTGTACTGTACATTACTGTAGTACATTTGATGATACAATATCACAGTACTTCAGTTACATCCAAAGTAACAGAGAAGTGGGAGGGACATGTTCCAGTTTGCTCCTGTAAAATTAAGCACCAAGTTAAGTCCCAAGTCATTGACCTTCAAGTCCAAGTCGAGTCCCAAGTCTTTGTCTATTTTATCAAGTCAAGTCTTAAGTCCTAAAAGTAGTGACTCAAATCTGACTAGAGTCTAAGTCACGACTCGCAAGTCCCAACTTCTGATGTGAGCTACTGTGTCCAAATAATTTCCCTTGTGGATCATAAAGTTTGTCTCAATAAAGTTTGTCTAAGTCTAATAGGTTGCATTTACGTGATGCCACAACTTCTTAACCAACCTTCTTAAAAAGTTGTTAGAAAAGTTAGTTAGTTAAAAGTAGCAGTTGGTTTTCTGGTTAAGTTGAGTGCTTCCTTCCAATGTAAACTGCCCTTTTTTATGACAAAGGATTATTATAAATGGCAATGGGATGTTTAATTTGTTTTATATCAACACTGTTCAAATTGTTATCGCAACCAGTTAGTCTCATCTAAAGGGAAGTCATTTGCCAGAGTAACAGGATGTTTTGTCATAAATGCAACATCATATTTTAATTGTAGGCTATCAAGATAATTACACTTGTTAAACAATTTATTCTACGAAAGAAAAATTATGAAAATAAATAAAATAGTTAGGAGCAAATAAAAACGTAAAGGTAACCCAGATTCTCTCTTAATTACAAAACCATTGAACATGATAACTATATTTTTAATTTGCTGTTTTGGTTCTCAAGATGCTTATTCAATCAGAAAGCAGTCTCTCATTTGGGTTGCCAGGTTCAATGCTGAAATCCAGTTGGTTTGAACCTAAAATGCCTCTCGCTGATCTGAATGGTCACTACCTAAACCCCAGTCCCTGCAGCTTTCACACGAATCATGACCTATCCATATACTGAGAATGAGAAGAAAACATATGTGTGTGATCTATATGCAGGTGAAGGCACTGACAACCCAGACTCAGTGGTTAATATTGCCTTTTTTCTTTTTTTAAACTTAACTTTAAGAGCGCAGGCTACATATATCTCATTTAAGTGTTATACAGGGCAGAGTATTATTTGAAACACAAAGTTATAAAGGAAAGTGGTTTGTGGTCGTGTAATAACTTCCTCTGGTTTTTATTACTGGCAACTTCAAAAGGGCAGTCTAAAGTACATGCAATGATGCCATCTGCTGGGGAGGATTAAAATGGCATCCGTAATCCGAACAAGTGAAAATGAAAAAAAAAAAATAAATAAATAATAATAATAATAAAAATATAAAAACTTACAAATTACATAAAACTTACAAATTAATATATTAAATAACAAACGCAATGCAATAATAACATAAAATACATTTGTTTAAAAAAACTTATCACGTCATATGACTTGACCAATCAGATCACGCGTCACTACCCCACGCATTTGTAGTTTTCGTTCACACTTAGCTTTTCGCTACTAGCGTGTAGGAGTGATTTAATCGTCCACCAAATAACATTTTAATATTCAGAAAAGCTCTACATCTTTGTGCATACAGTAGTCGTCGTTTGGCATCTCATAATCGCGTAGTCATTGCTATTATATTCGCGAAAAAACGTCTAGCTTGCATCCTGAAAGCTAGTTTAGCATTCAACTATTTGTTTCATTTAGCCATTAAAACAGTATAAATAGCTCTTATAGCCTTCTTAACCTGTTGAATATGAGTGATCCATGGCAGGAATGTTTGGACTACTGTGTGGAAGTGACAAAACGAGCGGGACAGGTAAACTTTAACATTTATTTTCTTAATATTGGATGATGAACAACAGCATAACATACAGTTGAATTGACTTAACGTGGAGAAGTAGGGGATGCTGTCTTAAACTCTAGTTAAAAACACTAGTTGCACGTACAGAAACTATTTAAGTACAGAGTTGGAGTGTTCAAGGAAATATTGAGAAGATGTTTTTGCTCTATGTACTCTGAGTAAAATGAATTGTTTTTGCTTGTTATTACTCATGCATTCACTGAAATGTAATTGAAATTATGTTAGTCTTTATATTATTTGTGTAATATTGTATAATGAAAAAAATGCTGCTAAATACACAGTTCTAACACATTATATTACATTAGTACACACTATTACAATGGACTTCTGTCTTGTTTTGCTATATAGACTAGACTGCACCTCGTATTGTAAACATTAAGAGAATATAAGAGAACTACTATTTGTACCACAATGAGGAAATTTCAGTTTTGCAATGTAAAGTACCAGTCAAATACCAAGATAAATAACTGTTTAAATATAACCTAAAAATCTAATCGTTAAACTAGAATATTAAAATTTATTATTTATTATTTATTATTATGATGATACAAAATTGATTAAAATCAGTAATACATTTTTTTCTTAAAATTTGGAAACTGAAATATTCATGACAAGAATTAACTTCTAACCAGGGGTGAAAAGTTTGCATTATTGTAATTAGTAGAGTTTTGGAGTAATTTAAATTTTTAGTACATTTTAAAACTTTTAGTACATTTGTCCTTGTAGTTGAGTTAAATTCAGGTCATGTAATTGTAATCAGTTTTACTTGTTTCAGTGGTCAAGTTTCATATGATTCAATATGCTTCTAAACTACACTTTAAAAAAGTAGTGACCAACTAGTCTAATACTTTTACTTAATTACAATTTTGGTACTTGATAATTGAGTAGTTGAGAACATTATTTGCCAAGTAACTGTACTTTTTCATGACTTTTGCCACCACTGATTGTGACCAAATCTAGTGAAGATGTGAAGATGAAGATGTATGTTGAGTCTGAAGATGTATGTCCCCTTTCTTTGCCAGATGATCCGTGACGCGTTACAAAAGGACATCACCATCATGGAGAAGAGCTCACCGGTCGACCTGGTGACGGAGACGGACCAGAACGTGGAGAAGCTCATTATCTCATCCATCCGTGAAAAGTACCCCTCGCACAGGTGCAAATATGGGCAAAGAACGTAGCGTTTTCACAGCAGCAGTGGAGAGAAAAAAATAGTTCTATCACTGTCTGCATTTTTCACTTAGATTGTGGAATTGAAAACACATGATCATTCTCTGAGAAGCTTATAATTCAAACAAGGAAAACAGTTGTGTATAAATCAAGTATGACATAATATTCAGTTAGATGTGATCAAATGAGCAGAAGACATGTGATTCACTCGTGTGTGAAAGTCGTGTTTTAACAGGCTAAAGGGGTGGGAGGGAAGTAAGATTTACTGAAGAAAGCACTGGGGTTCAGATTCTTAAAAATACATGCCAATATAATTAGAACCAGACTTAGTATATTTTTGCTAACTGAGTTTTGCACATTTTGTACACTAAGTTATTCAAAGTGCTTTACAGAATAAGAAAGACATTCAAATAATAACAATATAAACAAACAATATTAATGATCATCATGCAATTAACATTAACAAGAGAATTGTGCAGAATAAAAACTTTTCACAGTCATGTGCATGCCTGTCTCACAAGACTGGTCCAGCTTTTATCTGCATGAAACTGAAATGCTGATTTCCCACGTTCCCAAGTCCTGGCTCTTGACTAGTTGAGTTGTTACTGTGGTCACGTAGTATAGTGGGTGTACTCATTTGTTGGTGTCAACATTGACTTATTCTCATTAACTTAAATCTCTAACACTGTTTGTGTGATTTCAGCAATTAAGTTGAAGTTAGAATGTCAAACGGCTATAATAAGATATTATTTATTTTGAATACGTCACAAAAAAGGAAAACTTACATAAAAGTAGGAATGGAAAACTTTAATAAGAATTCATAAAAAGTTAAAGACTGGAGTATCATACTAATTTAACTTTCTACCATGTTATAAAATTGTTTTCCCATCAAAAAACATCCTTAAGGGATTTTAGATGTCATCCATGCACTTTTCATCAATTTAGTGATCTTAGCGTGGCCTTGATTGAACCCTCCATACTGTTAGCAGTAAGATTCTGTGCAATGCTCCGATCACAAGCCTGCATCACCCATTCTCCCACATGACAGTTTTCCATAAATATACAAAAACATGATACAAAACTGTACGCAACATCTTGACAAACATGATGTGATGTGCAGTACTTTCATTAGCAGGATGCATGCTGATTGTATTGATAGCGCTCTGAAGGGGGAGTGATTGTTGCTATGTTGTTATGTGTTAGCAGTTTAAAAAGTTGGTTTATTTGAACTGAGTAAGATCCACAGAATGATTTCAGAGTAATATGCTGTTTTGCAGCGCACTTCCACTGACTTAACTTCAACATGCCGGCAGCTTCTTAGTCTTATCTAATTAAAATTTTCCTCTTTTAAATCTTTCCTCTATTGTTTCAATTTTTTTCAGTCCCAATTATCTAAATGGAATCAAATTATTCTAAAAACTTTTTTATTTATTTTTTATTCAACCAGTATAAATTTCACAGTAGTAGCAAAGGATAACCAAATCTGCTTTTACTGTGGAATTTAGAAAACCCAGCTATAGCAAACTATACCAATAATACTAACAATATATTTTCTGATATGTAAAGCTTCATAGGTGAGGAGTCCGTAGCCGCGGGAGCCCCGAGCATTCTCACAGACAACCCCACCTGGATCATCGACCCCGTGGACGGCACCACCAACTTCGTGCACAGGTAGCATTAGCATACACCATCTTAACAACCATTAACAACCACGATAACATTGGCTTTTCCTTATCTGCGCTAGTCTCCCCACTATTTTTATCTTTTAATTAGCTTTACTTGTGGAAAATGAGCCTAGCTTGATGAGTCCGGATTTGTAATTGAAATTGATTCCCGTGAGTTTTCATTCATTCCACTTTTGCCTTTGTGCAGGTTTCCCTTCGTGGCTGTATCCATTGGTTTCACCGTTAAAAAAGTGGTAGGTCATATTGTTTTGAATGAATATTAAAGAGCACTGTATCTCGTTAATTACAGGCATATTTCAAGCTATAATTGTTGCAAAGAACTGTGTAAGAATTCAGTTAAACCCACTTTCTCTCATTAAAAAGCTGCTCTATTCTTAGCCCGCCTCCTCCGCGCTTTGCTCATTTCTTTGCGTTTCATCTGGCAGATTGAGTTTGGAATTGTGTACAGCTGCGTGGAAGATAAAATGTACACAGCCAGGAGAGGCAAAGGAGCCTTCTGCAATGGGGATCCTATCAAAGTGTCTGGACAACAAGGTAAAACGGAGAAAAGGCAGCGGTGTTTTTGAAGTGGTGCAGTGAGGAAAGGAGTCCAGCAGGTGGCGACAGGAGTACATGGAAGTATTCGAAAAGAGCCGACGAAAAAATGCATTCTCGTTTAAATTCTCAATGTTTGGGATCATTACACAACTCCCTTGAAAAACAGATCTGCAAATCTCAATGGGACTATCCTATTTGAGATCTTAAACCAGGCAAAAATAATAATAATGATAATAATAAAGGCTTCCCAAGAATTATTTATGAGTATTATTGAAAAAAAACACAAAAAAACAACAACAGTTATTCAAGTAGTACTGTATTCTTTATGGACACAATCACAGTATTCTTCAGTGAATATTGAACCAGCAACCTTCCAATTTACAAACAGCTGATATTACAGAGATAGCCCCAATAGAAAAGTACTGTGTGATTAGTAGACGACATGTATTTTCTATTATATTAGTATTTATATTAGTATTTATTTCCCCATTCTTGTGTCATTAGAGATTTTTCTTAATGCAAGATGCCCCTTTGGTTGTATTTAGCCAGAATCCATGACTGAAGTAGGCAATGTTGGTGAAGTGTCTTGCCCAAGGACACAGCAAAAGGACATGCCCACAGCTTATGTGAACTTCTTATTCAAGGTAGCCGCAGGGTCTTAAAAGTCTTAAAAAGGTCTTAAATATTCCTAAATTAAGGCCTTAAAAAGTCTTAAATTATGTTGTCCAAGTCTTATTTTTTTCACAAAGGGCTTAAATTTCATTAACCTTTTTTTTGTATACTTAACCGGGCTGCAGTGCAATGGTAAATGGAGGGAGGGAAAAAAAACAACAACAATATGAAATCACGTAACGTGAATGAACGTCTAATTTGGAGCATGTGCAAACAATACTTTCGTTTCTGGCGCCGGCAGCAATGAGTAAACAATCAGTAGAGTGGAGGAAGACATTGGATGGATCACGGGGAAAGTGTCGGTTTAATCCACTCTTAGATTCTAGATATAATAGTTGGTTGGTCATTATTAGAATTGGAGCTGGTGTTTTTCACCCGCATAATGGGTGCGATGTTGGTCTTAATTTTCATGTAAGTGGTCTTTATAAAGTCTTAAATTTGGGGTTGTCAAACCTGGGGAAATCCTGTTATTGTGTTTTTGACATTCATTTTAATTATGTACAGACACCATCTTGTATATGTTATTCTTGTTACTGTTACTTTATTTGTATTCAAATTTCAAACTTTTCTGTTTCTAGATATCAAGCAATCTCTGGTGCTGACTGAAATCAACTTTAAAAAGGACACAGAACAGTTCAACACAATGATGGATAATGTCAAGACTATCCTCAGTATCCCCGTACATGGGTAAGCAGACAAGCCTATCTCCTCAAGTAATAATAATAATAATAAAACTAATAATATAAAATCTTTATTTATAAAGCACTTTTAAGAACAAAGTTTACAAAGTGCTGTACAAGCCACAAAGAACAATACAAAAAGCATAAAAATAGCATACAGAAGGCATACAAAAACAGACAATAATGCAAACTATTCAATTAATTATAATAAATAAATAAAAAGAGCACATTTCACAAATAGACAGCGCTGCACAACTACATACTGATAACCACAATAATAATATAATGATAAAATAAACGCTCAGATTCAATCATACTAGTCTTAAAATAATAAAACCTGTAAAATAAAATAAGAGCAAAATCATAGAATAGCAATAAATAGTCAGCCAGTAAAATACATTAAAAATAAAAAAAATAAATAAAAGACACAGAGGACCATAGAACTCATGTGGCGTTAAAAGCCAGAGAGTAAAAGTCGGTCTTAAGGCGAGACTTAAAACTCTCCAATGTGGGGATGTTCGGACGAAAGTCACTCTAAAATCATTTAAAAGAAGGCCAACCCATAAAAACGAGTGATTTGAAAGATGATACTGACGGTGCGAGCCTTATCTCCTCAGGCAGGTCGTGCTGTATTCAACAGGGTAGCTGCGGGGTCTTAAAAAGGTCTTAAATTTCATGTTCTTAAATTAAGGCCTTAAAAAGTCTTAAATTATGTTGTCCAAATCTTATTTTTTTCACAAAAGTCTTAAATTTCATTAGCCTATTTTTTTGTAAACTCAACCAGGCTGCAGTGCAATATAAAAAAAAAAAACAACAACAAAAAAAGTGTCATCATTTAAGTATGTATGAAAGAACATCTAATATGGAGTATGGTCAAACAATACTTAGCTTGTCTTGTTAGAATGTTATAAATGATTTTTTGGCCATTTTGCAAGCAACACTTACGACTATAAATGAATCTGAATTAAATTTTATAATAACAGTATATTTTGTTATTTAAAGCAGTGAGTAATGGTCATCATGAGAATTGGATCTGGTGTTTTTGTTGGTCTTAATTTTAATTTAAGTGGTCTTAAAAAGGTCTTAAAAAAGTCTTAAATTTGTGGGAGTCAAACCTGTGGACACCCTGTTCCATCTGTCCTTATTTAAATGCATTCTCTTCCCTCTGTAGCATCCGATCTCCAGGCAGCGCTGCGATCAACATGTGCCTGGTGGCCTGTGGAGCTGCAGATGCGTACTACCACATGGGCATCCACTGCTGGGACATGGCAGGGGGCGCCGCTGTGCTCACTGAAGCCGGGGGAGTTATCATGGACATATCAGGTGAGACTAACAAAGGCTAGTGCAGTGGTATGGGAACCTCTGGGGTATACAGAAAGATGTAGAGAAAGATCGAGGAAGGTTTTGGAAGAAAATAAAATAGCCTTTTGTCTATCTTCGGTGTCCCTCAGATTTGTACCTTCTCCATTTTTACAACAAACTCTTGAGATTTTAGAGCACCTGTACTGCTGTTTTTAAACTTTTTTATGACCTAGTGAAGCGCTCTACCTCTTCTCTTCATCTCGTGCCTCAAGGCCTGCTTTTTGTCTATATTTCAAACTAATTTTTGTTATTTGGATGCTAGTCTAAATGTTTTAAATGCAACGCTCATGTTTTAATATAAGCCTCAGGGGGGACCACAGTACTTCTGCAATCTTTCAAACAAGAGTATAAAGTGATGCTTTTGCCCTCTTGTGGCTCATTTTATGGTTCATTCTCTTTTTGGATGATACTTGAACCTCAACCAAGACAGTTACAGGCGCATTTGAGCACATGCCTGATGCATTGTTCTAATATTGTCTGAATTTTGTTGTTTTTGTACCAACCGATCAAGAAAGGAATGGTACAGTGTCATCCCTACAACAACAAAATAGGCAAGGAAAGTATATTTGTGTAGTTCAATTATACACAGAGTTATTCAAAGTGCTTTACAGAATAAGAAGGACATTAAAATCAGTATAAAAAAGAGAAAAAAAAGGACATTAACATAGAAGAGTGCAGAATATAAAACCTTTCAGTCATATGTATCTAAACAGAACCTGGATTTAAACATTGTCAAAGTAGAGGCCTGTCTCACATCTTCAGGAAGACACTTTCAGCTTGTTCCAAATCAGGGGTCTCCAACCTGTGGCTCGGGAGCTATGAGTAGCTTGCCAAGGGATTACTGAATTCTATGTATTGTGCTGCATTATTATTATTAATAATTACCATGGTAAATGTATCATTTCCGTGTCTAACTTTGTGCACTGATAAATGCTTAATGCTTTATGTTTTAGAGGCATCTAACTGTTCCATGTCTAAGGCCTGCCAATGCTTTATATAATTATACTTTTTATTATATAAATATATACTTAGTTTCTTTGAGATTGCTAAAGTAGGTAGCTCTCTGGCAATTTTGTTTTGTAAAAGCAGCTCACTGGAGGAAGAACGCTGGAGACCCCGTTCCAAATGTTTATAACAATGTTAAAAATCTGTTAAAAAGTCTGTAATTTAGGTGATAATTTAAGATGTAAAGTGCACGTGTAGTGTTTTAAAATGGTTATATTTTCACAGTTGAACTTGAACAAGTACCTCAATAGTTACTGTGTCCAAATAATTTCCCTTGTGGATCAATAAAGTCAGTCTGATTGAGTAGTTTCTTAAGTAGATTTTTTCATGTGGTACTTTTACTGGAGTAATCTTTTGCCCCTGTATCTGTACTTTTACTTACTTAAGGTGCTTTCCGGTCCGTCAAATGCTTTTCTTCATTGTGATGTTATTGCTTTGTCTGGTTTGGTCTCCATGAAGATAAAAACGTTTAACACCGTACTGTGAAACATTCCAATCAAATTGAACTTTGATGCCATTTGCTGTCATATGAGGAGGACACAATCACATCCTGTTATAGAGAGAGCCCTTTTGCATTTATTATAAGCTGATTTTAGTCGTAGGATCTGGAAACACAAAGTTAGAGACTCACTGATGTATGATTTGATAATCAGCTCAAGAAAATCATGTAAAAGCTGTTTTCAAATATATTTTATTGTACTTCAAATATTGGATTTGTTTATGAAATAGTTATGAAAAATTCTCTACAAACATCCTCTAAAATGTGTTTCTTATATTAGTTTAGCCGTTCATATTTCAGTATTTTAATATCTATACTGATTCCCAAAATTGCTAATGTAATTTCAGTGCTTATCAGACAAAATCACAATTCACTTCTCATTCTAGAATTATTCCGCACTACCACAAACTCCACAAAACTTTTCAGAAATTCCAAAAAGCCGAGCAGTGGGCATTTGTGACTTGTTTACTGAGAACAAAGGCAGAGGGACACGGCAGCTCCGTCAGTGCAAACACATTATTAATGTTTATGAATTATTTATCCTCTCTAATTCTTGTTGTTATTGGATTTCTCCCCCTCTGCACAGCTGCATGTGGAACGCAGCGAGAGGCGGACAGCAGCTGGGGACTTTGTACTTGAAACAGGAAGCAGCCAGGGTTTAGCAAACAGGATCTGAGACAAGGCCACGCTTTGTGAAATACAACTAGTCCCTTAGATGCTACAAACATGCAAGAGTACAATCGGCTAAAGGAAATCTGTCCCTGTTATGGTTTTCTGTTAAAATCACAGATATTTACACCTTTTTATTTCTGAACAGAAGATAAAGATCCACTGTCTAAGTTTTCTTGTGGTCTCCTATTGATGTTAGGGTTTTAACTGGAATGTTCCACAGTATAGCATTCATCTATAAACATATAAACAAACAAGTGACGCTACCAGGCCATGTTACAGGTCAGATCTGTGGCGAGGTAAACCCTGCATACTGGTAGAATGTATGTATTGTGAAATCATTTTGAGCAGTAAAAGCACCCGCATTGAAATTATTAGATGGGTATGTTGAATGTCATACTGAGTAAATTCTGGCAAAGCAACCACATTTCAGAGGAGACAATCAGATGGTTTATCCTAAAAATGTGTTTTGCACCTGATTTAGGCATTTAATTCAGGTTCACTATGAGATTATACAGAGAACAGATGCAAATGTACAACCGCAGTTTGGGGAGAACAAGAGAGAGGTATTTTTCAGACGTTATTCGAAATTGCAGTAACAACTCTCGTGTCCTGTTTGCAACAGTGAACAGATTAACAAACCCTCCAGCTCCACTGCTGTTAGGAACAATTTCCACATCTAAGTGTAATGAGTTTGCAGTATCCTTTAATGACAAGGTTCAGGGCATCAAAAATGCCATCAATTCCACAACGCAAATGACAAGCTGCAGCCACTGAGACACTTGTAACTGACAAAACTGTATTAGAGATCATCACCAGAGTTCATCCACATGCTGCCTTAACGTGTTAGCCACTAGATTTCTAAACTCCGTCCTCAGCAGTTTGCTTTCACCACTCGCTCACATAGTTAATGTCACTTGAGTCTGGAACATTCCCAAGAGATTTGAAAACTGCGGTCATTAAGCCTCTCCTAAAGAAGAGCAGTCTTGATGCCACAGTACTGAACAAATTCCGACCCATCTCAAAAGTCCTTGAAAAAGCAGTTTACCAACCGCTTACTAACTTTCTCCAAATGAACAACTCCTTTGATGTTTTCCAGTCAGGTTTTAGAGCCCACCACAGCACTGAGACTGCTCTTATCAAGGTGACAAATGACATCCGCCTGAACACTGATGCAGGCAAAGTCTTGATCCTGTTAGATCTGAGTGCTGCTGTTGACACTGTCGATCATGGGATCCTCTTACAGAGACTAGAGGACTGGGTGGGCATCTCTGGTACTGCACTAAACTGATTCAAGTCCTATCTAGAAGACAGGATATATTTGTTGAAATTGTAAACTGTGTCTCAAATCACATCGCCCTGACCTGTGGGGTGCCTCAGGGGTCGGTCCTGGGTCCCCTTTTGTTCAATCTGTACATGCTGCAGTTAGGCCAGTTAAGTAAGCAGCAATAATGGGTCCTACCACAACACCTACACTCAGATCTATGTCTCACTGGCAGCAGGAGACTTTGGACCAGTGGACTCACTTGGTCACTGCATCCAACAGATCAGTTTGTGGATGCAAAATTACTTTCTCCAGCTAAACTCTGACAAGACAGAAGTCATAGTCTTTGGCCCACAGAAACAAAGAGACAGTGTCTCCTCCAGTTTTTCGCTCTAAAAGCTAGAAATCTAGGGGTTATAATGGACTCAGACTTGAACTTTAACAGCCACATCAAATCAATAACATCTGCTGCCTTTTACTATCTAAAAAAACATAGCAAAAATCAAAGGTTTAACTGTCTAAAGCAGACTTGGAGAGACTTATCCATGCGTTTGTCTCCAGTAGGTTAGATTACTGTAATGACCTCTCACTGGCCTCTCCAAATGAGCTGTGAGACTCTGCAGTACGTCCAAAACGCTGCAGCTCGGGTCCTGACTCGAACCAGGAAGTACAAGCATACAAGTCCTGTGCTCAGGTCTCTGCACTGTGGTTCTGCTTGTGTACAAGTTTCTCCATGGCCGAGCACCAATGTACATCTCCGACATGTTAGTGTCATATGAACCATCTTGCACTCTGAGGACCTCAGGGACCGGCCTCCTGCTGGTGCCCAGAGTCAGGACTAACCATGGTGAGTCAGCGTTTCAGATCCATGCAGCTAAAACTTGGAACAGTCTTCCTGAACATGTGAAACAGACTTTGACGCTGTTTAAATCCAGGCTCAAAACAGTTAAACTGTGCATATGACTGAAAGCTTTTCATTCTGCACTCTTCTCTCTCATTCTCTCTCATTTAATGTCTCTTTCTCTTTTTTAAATTTTATGATTATTTATGTTTTAATTTGTTTGTATTGTGATTTTAATGTATTCTGTAAAGCACTTTGAATTACTTTGTGTACGAATTATGCTATACAAATATACTAGCCTTGCCTAGTGTTAAATTTGGCGACAGTTGAGTTGTTGAGACTTTCTATATTTTTATTGACCATATTTGAACATTTTACACAAACAGGCTGTCAAGTATAGTAAATTACAGTCAAAGGGAATAGAAAAATACTATAACAAGCCAGTTGTTAGTCTGTCATCTGTAGAAATGGAAGTTAAACCTCCAAAGTATCGAAGTAAGGGGCTCCAAATCTGCAAACTGAACCACTACAGGGACACAGCTGTTCTACCTTGGTCAATGAAATGTGCTTTATAATTTTCGACTCAATATATTTAATACTCTGTTTGTTGCCGTAAAATGGATGGTAGTTCTAAATTACCAAGACCAGCTATACTTTTCTGCACTGTTTTACTGTTTCCACTGTTTACAATTTCTGAAAAACCCAGAATAAATAAATAAAAGTTGGTTACAGATCAACAATTACTTGCATCATACTTTAAATGGTAGTCAATCACACTGTGTAACATAACAAAGTTTCCAATATTCAGTGGTGGAAGGTAACAAAGTATAAAGGTAAAAGTGCAATAGTACAAGCTTTAGGTATCTGTACTTTACTTAAGTACATTTTACAGTTCGTGACATTTGAGAGCATGTACTTTCTACTCCACTACATTTTAGAGCTGACAGAAAAGTAAAAAGTACTTTTCGTTATGGTTTGAGACTTCTTTTTAGCACACTGAATTTGTGTTAACTTCCAAACTTTGAGCACACCAAATAAACAAAAACAGCTAGAAAAATTAAGAAATCAATTAAATAACTTAAAATCAGCTCAATTCTTTATCATAATCACTACATTTGATGCTTTAATTGTTCAAAAAATTGCCACAAAATACTTTTACTTTTTACTCTTAAAGTACATTTCTAAGTACTTCAGTAGTTTTACTTAAGTGGATTTTTCATGTGATACTTTTACTTTCACTTGAGTAATCTATTGCCCCTGTATCTGTGCTTTTACTTGAAGGTACATTGTCAGAATCAGAATCAAATTTATTTGTCATTCCAGTATAAAAAATACACAGAAACGAAACAATGCACTCAGGTCCAGGTCAACAGCAGCACAGATAACAATAAGAACAAATAGTTATAATAAGAATAAATAGTTATAACAAGAATAAAATAGTTAAAAATATTGTATATCAACCCGCCCCCATTTTCTAAAGTGCGTTGTGTAACTTTTCTGATCTGCCATCTGCTTTTCTCCATGGAGATGTTATTGCTTTGTCTGAAATGTTTCACAGTATGGCGTTAAACCTTTCTATCATCATGGAGACCAAACCAGTCCAAATAACTGGTCAGATCTTTGGAGAGGTGACCCCGCTCACAGTCAGAAAGCCTGATTTTCTAGGTATTTTTGAGTTTTAAAACCACCTATAGTTGAATAAATGTAATGTAGACTGTTTAATGTCATACTGTGGAACATTTGAAGCAGAGCAATGACATATCCATAGAAACAAGAAGGTGATGGCCCCCCAACCTAAAAGTTGCCGTGTGCACCTCTAAGTAACAAAATTTAGTACTTCATCCACTACTGCCAATACTGGATTTGATATCTTGATTTCTACCTGATTTTCCTCCCTGACATCCCTTCATCTCCTCTTGCAGGCGGACCATTCGACCTGATGTCGCGCAGGTTGATTGTGGCCAGCAGCAGAGCCATCGCAGATCGCATCGTCAAGGAGATAAAGGAGATTCCGGTCGGGAGAGATGACCAGTGAAAACCTCAAGGCCTGTCAATCACGTACTGTATTCAAACTCACCCGAAAGTTCTACCAATTACTGTTCAGAAATGCCTTTGCCGTTGTAGTTAAAGTCTGAATTATATTTCTAATTAGTACTTGGTTTGGTGGGGTAATACTTGTGGCCAGTATTTATCATAGATTGACAGCAGTTAAGTGGAAATTTGTGAGGAAAAAACTTGAAAAAAAAAAAAGATAAATACTGCACTTCTACCCACGTCATTGTCAGATTTAGCACCAAAAATTCTATCCAAAAATACAGGGACTGTTTACACACAGGGACTACATTTTTCTGACAGTTTAAATCCTCATTACATTTTTTTTTGTATAATCAAAATTATAGGGTGAATTTGATTTCTTTTAGCTCTTGTTTACAATTTGGTTGCTAGGTAACAGTTATGGAATACCTCTACGTATGTCATACCTGCTGCCCGTGTATATCCATGAAGTAAAATGATAAATTTCACACAAAAAATGTAATTATATTTAAGATTTTACCAGTAGTCTTATGTTTTACCAATATCATTGTGTAACTTTTCTGGTGGAGGCTCCGTCAAATGCTTGTCTTCATGTAGATGTTATTGCTTTGTCTGGAATGTTTCACAGTATGGCATTAAACCTTTCTATGTTCATGGAGACCAAACGAGACCAAGTTACAAGTCAGATCTGTGGAGAGGCAATTCCGCTCACAGTCAGAATGCCAGTTTTTCTAGGTATTTTTGAGCATCTGTAATTAAATAAATGTAAGGTAGAGTTGTTTAATGTCATACTGTGGAACATTCCAGGCAGAGAAATAACGTATCCATAGAAACAAGAAGGTGACAGACCTCCAACCAGAAAGTTACATATTGCACTTTTAACTTTGTTTTAGTGAAATAAGTAGTCTAATCTGTCATGTGCACTTTAAATCACTCCAAATGAAGTACTGAAGTATTGAAGTATTAGTTTTTGCACTTTTCCATTCACGTTCAAGATTTTATCATCAAAATCGTGCGGCACAGAGAAGAGATTTGTGTCATACTTTGTCAAACAGTCTTTTTTTTTTAAATAATTTCTGTATTTAGTCTCTTGCAAAATATAATGTTACGTTTGTGGAACACCTAATGCTACACTATGTAACGTTTCTGGTGGAGAGTTTGCTGCTTGTCTCTATGAAGATGTTTTACTGGAAATGTTCCACGGTATGGTATTAAACCTGTCTTTCTTCGTGGCATCTATGGAGAGGTTACCCTGCTCACTATAAATTTTTATGTTCTTACAGGCATTTAAAGGTTATAAAAATATGTAATTGGCTAAAGATACTGTATATAAGATGAACATTTAATGGCCTTCTGTAGAACATCTCCGTGAGACAACCAGGTGATGGACCCCCCACCAGAAAAGCTAGACAGTGTGCCTTTAAGCTAGTACCGTATTTTTCGGACTGTAAGTCGCTCCAGAGTATAAGCCCTACCAGCCAAAAAATGCGTAATGAAGGAAAAAAAAACATATATAAGCCGCATCAGCCTATAAGACACGGGGAAATTTTTAAAAATAAAATCACAGACCAGGAACCAATATTTCATCTTGAAATGCAAGTTATAGTAAAAACAATAGAACAGGGAACAACAGACTGAATATGTGTTTGGTATGTTAACATAACGCATGAACAGTTATTCAGATAACTATAACATATACAACAGAACAGAACAAGTTTACCAAACTCTCCCCTGTCATTTCTGAGCAACTTCGCGACCTCCGGAGGTAGATACATGAGGTATTGCCAGTGCGCCACTTCCTCTTCTGCGTAGTTGTCGTCAGACTCAGCTTCAGTTCCAGTTAGAATTATTCCGTCCTTTCTGAATCCCAACAGGATGGTTGCGGTTGTCACTGAAGTCCAGGCTTTGTCGATCCATCTAGTGACTTCCAGGAAAGTTGCATGGCGCACCCTCCCGGTTACCGTGAAATTGTGTTCTCCATCCCCGCTTTTCGCCAGCCCCTCAGTTTCTCGCTCGCTCCAAACTTTCTTTCTTCTGCTCGATTACCGTTTTCGGCTGAATAATGCGCTACTTGCAGCAAGACAGTGGCTTCTACTGCAGAAGACATGCGCGGTAGGGCGCAAAGTGACAGTGGTACAGGAGTAGCAGATACTGACACACAAGCCTAGAGCACCTTCTTGCTGCTGTCAGTGTGAAAATTTTAATATATAAATCGCACTGGAGCATGAAAAAAAGTGCGACTTGTAGTCCGAAAAATACGATAGATGTGTTTCTAGTCAAGTACAGTACAAATAAAGCTGTATTTCAAGTTTGCCGAATATAAAATGAAGGATAGTCTAGATATTGTCATGGTATATTTAACTATATCCTTAAAAAATTCTCTTCTATATTTATGTTGTGTTTGTGAGAGAAGGTTTTGTGTTTTCTTTTGCCGTTTATTGAAAATTACAATATTGGGACACTGAAAGCAGGAGGAATTTTAAAGAATTAGAATTTTGAGCTACTGACACATTTGGGTTTGATTATTATTATTCAGACTATAGAGATGATTAAAGACTGACATAAGGCCTCAGAATGTTCATCCACTTATAATATGTGTTTTGTGTATTTATGTACCTCATTTAAAGTGCACTGGAATCTGTATTTTTTGTTGTAAATTATGAACCAAAATTGCATTATCTCATAACGCAATAAAGGTGCAGAAAAGGAAAACTCTACTACTCTCTGCTATTGGCAATTTTTTATTAGATTCGATAATGTCATAGTAAGAAATGTCAACACAGGAACACTGAGAACACAAATAATGCTGCGGAGAAATTGTTACAATAAACTCATGCTTCACGATTTGCACCAGTGAAATTATAAAATAGAAAAAAGTGAAAGGAATAAATAAATAAATAAATAATTAACAAAGGAACAAAGGAGTAATGAAAGTAGAGTAGAGGCAGGAGAAAAGGGGAAAAAAAGAGAGTATTATCATTAATTACAAGAATAGTTATTTTTTCCTTTTTCATATTTTTTCCTTTTTGTTTGGTTTTACCCTCGTACATCTCTTTTGGTTTATTACTTACCTACTCACACACACACTTGCCCTCTGATATAAGAAGAACAGAATGTCTAATGTCTTTTACTGTTTGTACTGTCTCCAATATCATAATAAAAAAACAAAAAAACAATTGTATTAGAAGATAGTATTAAAGCAGCACAGGCATTATACGATTTTTCCATATTTGCAACAGAACAGTTCAGTATAACAATGACAACTGGCTTTAATAACTTCGACTAAACACTCTGAAAACAGATCTGAGATTCTCCATGAAATGTTCCCATTGTGATTTTAGTGGTGAGATAAATGCACATAAAATTTCCCTGTCTTAACATTCAGCAACACAGAAGACAACATGAGGCTTCGAGCTCTGCGTTTTCTGACACAAATATTACTAGAAATTGCGAAGTCCAGTAAATATTTTTTCAGCCGGTACTATTATGTTTGCAACAATATTTATAACCTATAGCTCTGTCGCTGAATTGTAGTAAAGTTGACAAAGAAATTATAATTAAAAGGCCTTGATTTTGAATAAGAGAAGAACATTTTTCGTTTGAACCATGACAAACAATAGTTATACGCAGTAGTTTTCATAAGGTTCTCAACAAAGCAGCTGTTTGTACTTGATTCTCATCCAGCGCGAACAGCCAGCGCATACTGTTAGTTATTTATTTTTGTAATGAATCTTTATTGGTGTTCTTTTGAGTAAGGGATTGAAAAGAAAGTAGTTTTATTTTGAAGTCGCAAAGCAAGTTTATGTGGCTGATCCGCAGGCTGTAAAACGCATTCCCCTAGGCGCAAAGTTGTAAAATGGCCAGATTTTTTAGTAGTGAATTGAGATTTTAAAAAGGATCATCAAGTTTGATTTTGAAGCAACTAATAATCTTACATCATTGGCTCTCAAACTTTTCTCCAACCCCTCTTTTAAAAAAACAATGGCAAACTTCTTTTGTAAGCTGAAGCTAAACAAATTCTTTAGGAAATTATAGAGAGAAATAATTCTGTTTTAGAATTTCTTCTGTCAAGTGATGTAATACAAATGTCACACTAACTTTTTTGTAGAGGAGTCTGCCTACTTGTCTCTATGAAAATGTTATTTCTTTGCCTGAAGTGTTTTGCAGTATTGCAACTTTTCTATCTCCATGGAGACAAGCAGGTTGGCACACCATAACAATTACAGGACATGTGTGGCAACATGAGCCCACTTACAGTAAGAATGCATTTTTTTCAAGGTAGTTTTAAGAAAAAGAAAAATGTCACTTGTAATTACACAAAATTGACCTGTATTAGCTTTAAGCCACATTATAATGCTGTGAAGAGTTGGTTTGTTTGTTTCATTCACAGATGTTTGCATAACCCAGGATTGTTACTTTGTCTACATCTCCAAAGCTCAAAATGATCTGTTTCACTTAGTGATGTCATGAAGTGGTAGTGGGAGTTTCCACATAAACAGCTAACTTTTAACTTCAGTTCAGTTGAGGTTGGCAATTCTAGGGCTGAAATCATTCTAATGAATCTATGGAGTTTAAAAAAAAAACGAAACACTGGGAGCATTTCCTGTATTACCAGGTGACATCACAAGGTGGAACAGGGTGTTTTCTGTTTGAGAGAAGATTTCAGCCCAAATATGCAGGATTTGTGTGACATCTGTGAATGAAACAAAACACAACTCCAGGTCTGTTTGTGATGAGGAAACAACATTATAACGTAGATCAGAAAATAGTTGTAATATGGATCTTGGTGGTGACATGTTGTATATCAGTTATCGCTCAGACTGACCACGCCTCCTGTCGAGTGTCCCAGGTGTGTGAAAAGAGGAACGCTCCATCATCACGGCTGATGGTGGACTTCAATGGTCTCCCTGATCCAGAATTTTCACCAAGAATGATGAAGATGGCAGCCGAAACATGTCAACAAGGTAAATACATCTCCTACACTACTGTCTATCTCAAATAAAATCAAAGTTTGGGTTTTCAAAATAATCGCATCTCCGTGATAGGCACGATTCTGAAACCAAGTCTCAGTGGTCTCTCATTCAAGTCCCAAGTCATCAATCATCCATCAAATGTCCATATGAAGAGTCTAAAAAATCATTTGCTTGCATCTGGCAGTGTTATTGTTGATGACCGAAATATTAAAATAACCCATTATACATTGTGCCTCTACAGTAAACACTGGTGTGTTTGTTTTGACCCAAACAAACACACCAGTCAGGTTTATCTCCAGTTGTAACTCCAAACTTTTTTGCATTAACATAATCTCAAAATAGTGACCTGAGAAATGAAAGATTGCCGCTGTCTTCGCTGGGTAACGCGACCTAAACGTCTCAGTTCAAACTTGTGATCATCTGTCTGCGTGCTCCAGCGACCTTCACCAAACTTCTGCATCATCTCCCCAAACGCGGCGCCGCTCCCACCCGGCCGCGCACACCCAAACATCCCTCACCAGGATAAATTATTCATAACGCAGGAGCCGGCAGACAGCAGGACTGATGTATTTGTTTTGCTTGTCCTATCACTCCCCTCAGTTCGTCTCCCGGCGTTTCTACGGAGACGCTTTATATCCAGGGCGCCGCGGGGACAACAGGTTGACAACTGCGCTTCTGCCCCGGGTCAAATAGAACTTTCAGCAAGTCATGGGTAATGATGTTCTGCTGTAGAGGGAGCTCTGGGTGTTCAGATGGAGCACTTTAATGGTATTCTTAATTAGGTGAAGTTTTACTTGTTTGATTCCAAATTAAGTTCTTCAAAACATTTCAGAAATGTTTTTGAAAAAGTAAGACACTGCAACTAGCCACATAACTTGACTGGAGTTGGTAGTGAAGAATAAGTATCCGTCATAATGACAGTATGAATGGCAGGCACAATTTGAACTAGTTACTCTGTGGTTGGAGGGCAAATGTTGGACACTGATGTCCTCAGTTTTAAAGGTGCACTATGTAACTTTGTACATGTCCACCACCTGCTTATCTCCATAAAAGTAAACTGTCTGCCTGGAGACAGATGACGCAACTCAGCCAATTTACAGGTCATATTTTTGTCAGTTTTTCAGTGTTTAATTTTATCAGTTAAACTATAATTTCTGTCAGAGAGGAGTGTGTGTTTACCTGCTTTACATGTTTCAGATCCTTCCTGTAGCCTGCATCATCTGATGGTGTTTGATGTGTCATATAGGCTACTGCTGCCTACATGGTTTCCTCTCCCTTTTCCAGGACCACATCCCATGTGTTCCTTGGACCCTGTTGGCGGATCTTTGTGACCTCTCTGATCCAATGCTGGTCTTTGTTACTTTCAGCACAGAGAACCCTGGCATTACGCCAACCAGAGCTGTGGTTACTGGATCATGGTTAGTGACAGTTTGAACTGAAGACAGAACACACCTTTACCAAAGAGGAAAACACCTGCAATTTAACAAATGCAAGATAGATATGTTTAATGCAATGCTGTGGAACAAGAAGGCAAAGTGGTCTCCATGGAGACCCTGTCAAGAAATCTTACAGCATCTAAAATAATATATAATACAATTATAAAATAATAATTATAATAATTCTGATACATAAGTACATAATGGTGCATAATTATAATTAAAAAAATAAAATAAAGGTCTAAAAATATACAGCACCTTTCAACATGGGCAAAGTACTTCTGATTGCATTGTTCATTGTCTCCATAGGAGACCCCACATCAGAGGTGCTTGGAACGACTGTATAGTGCTCACACTATGCATTTGGCAGTATTAAAGAAACGGGTAATTTCAACACACATGAACCTGAACTGTGTGAGGTGTGGCAAGAACAGCCTGTTCTGACGGGCCCCAACACAACTAAACCAGCATGCCACAGCACTGACTAATGCAACTCAGAGGAAATTGCCAGAAATTTGGAATTATTACATTCAATTTTGACAATTATTTAATAATTTAAAAATTTAAAAATTTGAATTCCAGTCCAGTAATATTAAAATAACATCCATTTAATTAGTAATTCAGCCTTGGATGCACATGGACAAGTGAAGTAGTAGTTAGAAACTACTCGCCAAGTTTCAAAAGTATTAAATATTTCAACAGGTTTTGATAGGAACATTTGAATAGCTTCAAAATTCTCTGGATCAACCACATCAAATACAATATTATTTTTTCTTGAAAATTACATTCTATTGTATATCATTTTATCCATGTAGGGAAATAGGCATCTCCTCAGGAGCAGTGAGCTGCTGCTGTTCTGCGCCTGGGGACCCATCTTCAGTGCGTTGTGCATGTTTTGGGTTGATGAGGCAAACTGGAGTGCCTGGAGAGGCCAGGGAGAAACATCCAAACTCCACAGAGAAAGGCCCATGTGGCCCAGGAGTCAAACCTGGAACCTTCTTACTGTGATGTGAGAGTACTAGTCACTCAGTGACTGCACCACCTCAAGGCTTTTTTCCCCATCACTGTGGTCTCAAAGTCAGTATCAAGCATTTGAAATTGAGTTGGCATCACTACTCAATATTGGTAAGGCAATTTGAGTGCTGAAATGATCAGTATGAACCAGGTAAACATGTATGGACTTTTAAAACACAATGGCACTTCATGGTTTACTTTATTTGAACAGACTTGTACTAACTCCCAAGATAAAAACAATCTAAACTTACATCAACAAAACAAAACACAACTCCATCCAGGTATGTGTTTGATATGAAAACATTTGATCATACATAAAAACTCCCAACACCGTATCCCAACATGGCACCTTTCAGAACATTACAGTCAAACACAACCTAATCATGGCTGCTTTCTTCTTGCTCTTTCTCTTGCACAGTACACCCCAGCCTGTAGCCGTCTCCTCTCACCGGGGGACCTCTCCAAAGTGTTCCGGAGGCACTATAGCGCGCACAATGAAGGGGCATAAAGGGAAACTCAGAGCTGTGAAAGTGTCAGTGAACATAAAGATGACGAGGGCTTTGTTTGTCAAACCAGGTCCCTGCACCACCAATAGGCCTGCTGCAGAGACGCCTTCACTCCACTAAGGTCTGCACAAGTCTTAGAGGAGTAGTCTGGTTATAATTGGAAGGGTTGTGTTAGGGTTATACATGCACTAATGACTCACAATTAAAATGATGACTACTGCAATATACTTTTCATTGAGTAATTGTATTTTGAAGTAGAAGTGTATGTTTATATGACAAGTTTTCTTGTCTTTCTAATTCTTACTTGGCTTTCTGGGGTAAAACCTGTGGTAAAAGGGAAAAAAACAAAGAAAACGGAAAAGTACAAAATTCCAGGAAGTAGCTGGGAGCTCTAAAACAGAGTACCTCTACTTATGTCATGAAAACGGAAAAGTACAAAAGTCCAGGAAGTAGTTGAGAGCTCTAAAACAGAGTACCTCTACTCATGTCATCAAAATGGCAAACTGATATAGTATGATATGCTTTTTATTTGTACATTTCTTTGTACATTTATAGCACATTTATACACCTGTAGTCCCTGAGCAGGTTAGTGGAAATACTAAAAGTTCAGATTCATTGTATATAGACAAAAAAAAAAAAAAAAACAGATGTTACTTAGGGTTACAGTGTTGAAATACTATTCTAAAAACAGCATACACCAAACACGCAACTACATGCACTCTTATCCTCTTCCACCCTGTATCAAGACCCAACATTTGCACACACACACACACACACACACTCTACATTCTACTAATGTGCACAAACTTGTTCAGAGATCAGCCTCTTCTTTGTCCTCACATATGCAGAAACTGACAGATAAAACATTTAATTAGCATTTAATTTTTCTGCTCGTTTAATTTAAAGACAGGTTTTGGCAGGTTATGGTTTGGTTTGTCATGTCATTCTATTCACCAGATGCGTGGTCTTGCCCCAGAACACCACAGTAGTTTGGCATCTGCTTGCAATGTTCCACAGTATGGCATTAAACATTTCTAACTTGCATTTATTCAGTTGCAGTTTTTTGCTCCTAATTCCCTTGAAAAATGTGTGTTATTATTACTGTGAGCGAGGACTTCTCTCCACTGATCTGACCTAGCCTCATTCATCAGCCGGTTTCACTTTGTTTCACTTTGTAGAAACCGTCTGACCTCGCAGTGTTATAATTCGTTTGCGCGACAGTAGGCGGGTACTTTATATCATTTAACCAATCACTGTTATTTGCGCCACTAACAGGGCTAAGTGGTATATTAAGCTTTTCCCAAATCCTGTAGGAAGAAGGGCAATAACATCTTTCCCCTTGATGAAATTCACCAAACATTCTCTTTGTTCCGACTTTAAATCCTCGATCTTGGGAATCGTCGCCAACACTGAATATATGGCTCTTCGCTGATTGGCTGGTGTCCGAACTCGCACTTCCAGGGTTTTTGCGAACCGTCTAGTGTATTCTGATTCCTGACCTAGTCGCTGGAGAGAAATTAAATTGAGCAGAGGGACTAGGTGGCACCAGCCTGGCTAGTTCTGACCTGTAACTTGGCCTAAATTCAACAGATTGCTCTTCTAGTCTAAATTAGTCAGCTGTGTGCTATCCCTTCAAGAATCAGGAAGTGTTCAGTTAGCATGCTAGTTGTGGTTATCCCTACCGCGATGACAAATGCTGTGAAATGCTCTCATAGGCTTATCTGTGTGAATAATTACGATACTCAGAATGCTTAAAGTAAGCGAGGAATAACTTTAAACCACTGCAAACTGTTTAAAATTATCTAGTTCTCTTTTTCACGTTTTTAAGTCAGTAAAAATTAGGTACAGCGTTTTATGTAATTTAACTTCCTTTGACGTGTCTCATTATGTCATTTTGAGCTACCGTTATGAGTATACCTAAAACCAGCTAATTCTATACAAACATTACTTAATTCAATGTGCCGTCATTTATGTGTAAAAATTTCCACTCAGACCACAGCCATACATGCAATCAGTGTAGATCGTGTGTCTTCACGTCATTGCAGTGTGGTTTTTGTTTCTAAAAGTTGTAGAAATGCATCAGGGAGGAGCCAGTACTTTTCCTATTGCCTGGAGCCAGCTTTTAAAAGTGAAGGTTCCCAGACGCCCGCAAGTCTCCACCGGCACAGCTCATCACTGCTCCCAGGTAAGAGTTCCGTTCATGTTTTAGAATTTTAATTGCAAATTTTTTTAATGTTAATTTTCCATGCTATTGTCAGGTGTCATTGTTATATTTAAATGCTTCTGACATTTTTGTTGGTTTATAAATATACAAACATTCCAGAAATACAACTTTTATTTTAAATTTCATTTCATGCATTAAGTAATTCACTGTGGATCAGTAAATTTTGCCTGTCTAAGTTTAAACAATTTGAAAATAACAGTGAATTTTTTACTGCCAAATTAGCATAAATTTGCATTGGTAGTTTTTGTGAGAGGTGCTATCAATGTTATATTTCAATATTTTTGTCATTTTTGTTGGTTTATAAATTCATATATTTATAAAACACAACTAAAAACATTTTTGTAAGGACTGAGAAAAAAATCATCCTTTTCTTAGTCCACTTTTTTATGTCACTAAAATCTTTATATAAGAGCTACAATGTTTGAATTAGATTTATTTATTTTTTTGTTAAATAATGTCACATAATTGTCCAATAACGATACAAATTGAAAATAACAAAATAAACATTCAAGCCCAATGAGCTTTGTGCAGCCTAATCAGTTTTACATCTGCAGGTCAAGTTGATACAGATTTTCATGAATGATCATTTTCCGTCGTTTTGCCATTGTTTTTTTTTCCAGCAGCCTTGTGGGAAGCTGTTGCATGTTGTTTCTTGCATATGCATAGCGTGGTATATTACACATGAGAAAAACTACAGGAGAAATGTTACGCAACCCTTTTATGTTCTGTGATAGGTTCATTTGGACATGTCTGTACAAAAGACATCACTCGTAAATAATCCAGTTCTCAAATCTTTTGTCCATTCAGCGTAATGCTTCTCATCAAAACATACCTGCAGTTTAGCTTAACTGTGAGAACAGTGAAACTTTTCAGGTGGATGATTAACCACCTGTCGCTATGGTGATGCTACTGCTTTGCCTAAATGTTTTTAAGTTTGGCATTGATTTGATTTATTTAACATTTTTTATTTAATCTGTTGCAAATATTTTATTGCTGACAGATAACTTAAAAAGCATTCATTGATTCAGTCCACAGATCTAACCTGTAATGTGACTTACTTGACTTTGTTTGTCTCCTTGGAGATAGATAAGTTTAATGCTATACTGTAAAACATAATTATGAGTCTTGTGAGCTTTAAGGCATGTTATAATGTGTGGGAAAGCTGGCCCGACGAGGTCAAAGTAGGAGGCAGACGACAACAAAAAAGACTTCTGGAGTTAATGCAAAAAAAAAGTACAAATAAACTGAAAATATGTAACTCAAATCAAAAGCACCAAACAATCTACACAGAAGTCTCTCCCAACTGATGTCACCTGCTTTGCTTTTACACCCCGCCCAGTTCCAGGTCACTCTTTAAAACAAAGCGAGGATTTTTCATGAGACCAAGTCCCCTTTTAAAATCTAAATGTTTAACAGACTAAACATTGTGTTGAACCTAAACTATAAAACCAAATACGCAAAAATAATGAAAGAGAACTTGAACCAGTTCTCCACATGGTCCAGCCAACGACCTCCTCCAAGGTTTTAAGAATGGCCGATATGAGGCACACCCCCTCTTTGTCTGGACCATTGGAGCTGCAGGAAAGTATGAGGAATAGAACCTGAAATGAATTAAACAATAAGAACCAAAACTTATTGTAACTGTATTGAGTATTGAGAATGACAGAATGTGTGGAATTAAATGAATGAGTTTAAAAAATGGGTTAGAGTTATGTTCAAAAAAATAACTGACTTCTGAGCTTTAAGCCGTGTTATGATGTTACCTTCTCAAAAACAAAGCTGGAGTTGTGTTTTGTTTGATTCACATGTTTGAATAACCATTTATTATTAGTCTGTCTACATCTCCAAAACTCAAAATGCTCTGTTCCACCTTGTGATGTCATGTAGTGGGAGTTTTCAAGTTAAGGGCTACGTTTTAGTTTTTCCTTTTCCTTAAGTTCAGTAGAGACAGGAAATTCCGGAGCTGATTTTACCCAAATGCTTGTAGTGAAATTTAAAAGAGTTTAAAATACATTAGTGCACTTCCTGTATTACCACATGACATCACAAGGTGGAACAAAGTGTTTTCAGTTTGAGAAAAAACACAGCCTAAATATGCAGGGTTTGTGTGTTAAAGATGAGAATGAAACGACACAACAGATCATAAAGTGTAATATCAGCCATTTAATGATCTACTATTTGAATTCAAGAATCTTGCAGTGAACAAAAGTACTTTAAATCTCAAAAAACTTTGAAACTGTTCTATATACTACACAATTTAATCTACTTGCTGCTGTGCTATTACAGGTTCAAAGAAGAAGAAAAAGCAATGGCTGACCCGTGGCTCGAAGCGTATAACTTTGCTATTGAAATTGCAAAGAAAGCCGGGGCGGTATGTTCAAGTAACTCGTAGATTTCAATAGAGACGAGGCTTCACCTTTTCAGACTGCATAACATAAAGTTTTGTTTTGACAGGAAATCCGCAGGGCTTCTGAAAGTGAAATTAGAATCTGCACGAAGAGCTCCACCGTGGACCTGGTCACTGCTACCGACGTGAGGGTGGAGAAAATCATCATCGGGGCACTCAAGGAGAAATTTGGAGATGATGTGCATTGGTAAGTTTGTCTAAAGCTATATATACATTTGGTTTTTACATGCAGAAAGAAGACATATTGTGTTTTGTTTTTGATATATTTATAATCTATGACAACAGTCAATTGTAATTTTTTAATATTTTGGTCCTATATTGTGCAAAATTGAGTCTCTAGAGCTATAAACAACAGTGTAGTGTTGTTACCTCCTCAAAAACATACCTGGATTTGTGTTTTGTTTCATTCACACATGTTTGAGTAATCCTTTATTACTGTATTTTTCGGACTATAAATCGCTCAATTATAAGTCACACCAGCCAAAAAATGCGTAATGAAGAAATTTGCACTGGACTATAAATCGCACTTTTTGGGGAAATGTATTTTATAAAATCGAAGACCAGGAACCAACATTTCATCTTGAAAGGCAAGTTATAGTAACAAGAATAGAACAGAACAACAGGCTGAGTAGGCGTTAATATGCTAACATAACATATTAACAGTTATTGAGATAACTACAGCATAAGCAAGAGAACGTACGTTTACCAAACTCTCCATCTCACTCCAAATCACTAAATAATTATTACATTACATTGAATTCTTCATCCTTGGTGTCACTTCTGCACGACCTCCGGAGGTAAACCATAGATTCATGAGGTAAACACAGCGCCGCTTCCTCTTCTGTGTAGCTGTTGTCAGACTCAGCATCAGTTCCAGTTACAATTATTCCGGCCTTTCTGAATCCCGACAGGATGATTTCGGTTGTCAGAGGAGTTCACGCTTTGTTGATCCATCCAATGACTTCCAGGAAAGTTGCACTGTGAACCCACCTGGTTACCATGAAGCTGTGTTCTCCATTCCCGATTTCTGCCAGTCCCTCACAAGTTTCTCGCTCACTCCAAACTTTTTTTATGCTGCTGAATTTTGGCTGCATATTTCACTACTTGTCTGCAGGAGACATGCGCAGTAGAGCCGAGTGACAGTGGTACAGAAGTAATAGGAGTGGCAGATACTGATACACAAGCCTAGAGCGCCCTCTCGTGGCTGTCAGTGTGAAAATCACAGAACCACCCAAACCATGAAAAAAAGTGTAACTTATAGTCTGAAAAATACGGTATTCGTCTGTCTACATCTCCAAATGCTCTGTTCCTCTTTGTGATGTCATGTAGTGGTAGATTTCAAGTTAACAGCTGCCTTTCACCTTCATTTCAGTGAAGATGTGTAATTCCAGGGCTTAAATCATCCAATTTGGAGCTATATGGAGTTTAAAAACACAGTGAATCTCTTCCTCTGCCTTCCCCTTTACGATACGTCATTGTAAATGTCATCACAACAGAGTGATGGACTACGCCGTCGGCCACACTTATGGATAGATACAAGTCATGGCAGTGAGCAGTGGACTATTTTTCATTTGTTATGTGACGCTACAGAATCCTTTATTTATCACAACTAAGAAAAACAATCAAGAGTAATTACAAAGAAGAAGGCGTGTACATGACAAAGTAGATTATGGTAGAAAATTCAAACACCTTTAATACAAAATGTACAACTTTTTTTCAAGTCAGGTTATTTTGATTTCATGCATTAAAGTACCTGTATTTGAAAGTTAACTGTATAAAAACTGCCAAATTAGCACACTTTCATTGATAGTCTCTTTGCCTGATGCTTCATAATTAATAATATAATAATGATAATAATCAAGTTACAGTCAAATTAACAATACTGTTCTGTTTTTAAATCAATGGGTGATGTGCGTTTACATGCGCATTGCTGCCCTCTACTGTCTGGGTAGAATTTTTTTTTTTGCCGACTTGACAGCAGACATAAACTAGTGCTCCTCCTACATAATAAAACATTAAAAATATTTTGTTTTTGGATTATGTTTTACAGTTTTATTGGTGAAGAATCAGCTTCAAAAAAAGGAGCCTGCATCCTAACCGATGAGCCGACCTGGATTATAGACCCCGTGGACGGAACCACCAACTTTGTGCACGGGTAACATATTTGCATAACTATTGAAGCTTTTCCCATGTAGTTTGCTTTGTCCTTGTACTATATCTATACTTTAGTGTGCTAGTTATTGTTAGAATTACTATGACAACCAAATTAATTATAAAATCATTGTGGTGAATAATTTGGGTTGTTTCAAATGAACAAATTGTTTTTTTATGTTTTTAAGACAGTAAAAATCAGAGTGCCTTTAATTACCTTTCTTATTTTGATTAATTTAAGTTGTCCATTATAAATTGTTGCAACATTTCATTTTATATCAGTGTCATTTTTCCATCAGATTCCCATTTGTGGCTGTGTCCATTGCCTTTGCGGTCAATAAAGAGGTAAGATCTAAAACTAAAGATGAAATGTGCCAGTATTTCTAACATTATTTCTAACAAGTGTGTTTCTGCAGTTGGAGTTTGGTGTGGTGTACAGCTGCTTTGAAGACAAACTGTACAAAGGCCGGAAAGGACAGGGGGCCTACTGTGATGAAGAGTCCATCCAAGTATCAGACAACAAAGGTAAAAACGCGGTCAAATCCTCTGCCACATTCTACATGCTGCTATTAAAACGGCAGAATGTTCACCTTAAATCTACACATGTTTACGTGGGCTTTAGGAGTGTGATCATACAAGCATGGCTCTTATTAAACAGCAGGTTTGTTGGACATTTTTGTAGTGAGATGTCTGATTGGCTGATGTTAAAGTTCATTAAAGGTGCGCAGTGTAATTTTACACAAAGTAATTCAAAGCGCTTTACAGAATAAGAAATGCATTAAAATCACAATACGAACAAATCAAAACATAAATAATCATCATAAAATTAAAAAGAGAGACCATAAATGAAAGAAGAATGCAGAATAAAAACAGCTTCAGTCATATGCAGCTAAACAGAACTGTTTTGAGCGTGGATTTAAACCGTCCAGGTAGAGGCTTGTCTCACATCTTCAGGAAAACTGTTCCAAGTTTTAGCTGCGTGAATCTGAAACGTGGACTCCTTGGGTTTAGTCCTGACTCTGGGCACCAGCAGGAGGCCGGTCCCTGAGCTTTTAAACTTTATTTACAGACTCAGGGTCCAAACCGTACACTGAAAGACATACCCACTATACACTACATTCACATATAAACCCACCAGCACACATACACATAGAAAACCTACAGTGACGTAAGGTCCGTAGAATTTAAACAGATACAGCTGGCTCTTCCAATATTCCCAGATGTCCGTAATATTGAGTGTCATTTTCCTTAACAACCCAAAACATGCTACATGGGTCTCCAGGAAGAACAGTTGATAGCAAAGGTCAGTTAAATACAATCAATCACTGAACCTGCCCAGGGACTACAGGTAGAAAATCAGCACTGATGCTACAACCTGGGACAATGCATCTCTCCTATTAAGGTTAATGTTAAAATTGTGCGCTGTCCCTGTCTCAAATAAATAAGATAAAATAAATAAATATCAGTCAAGCATTTCATTTCTTGATTCATTTAACCTACACATAAATTTACTGTATTTTCCGGGCTATTAGGCACGCTCATAAGCCTCCAACCCCATCAAAAAACGACTGCGTGCTCCGCAATCCAGAGCGCCCTATACACGAATCCACTCTCAGCACGACTTCAGTAAACTACAAAGCAGCACGCAAACACACATGGAGTAAACAGCGACCGCGCAGTGAAAAACACCCACAGCCACACTCATCACTCCGCGCGGACGAGGAATGGAATGGAGTACAATGTGCCACTCTGAGCCACTGAGTCACTGCGAACACGCCAACAATCCAGCGGTCCCAGACAGCACCCTCCCTACACGCCACAATTGAACAAAGCCGAGAGTCACTGTGAACGCGCCAAACAAAGTCCGACTGAGCCATCTAACTGTTTTGTTTCGTTTAAAGTCTGGTACGGTAGAAGAAAGTTTTAAAATAGACCATTCTATGACAGTGCGTTTTATAATCCAGAGCGCCTAATAGTGCAGAAAATACGGTATACACTAGCACTAGCACTTTCCCACCTTGGAGTCTTTAGCATTATTCTGAGAGCATCATTATATGCCACTTTAATCTTATTTATCTTTGGTTTGCTGTGTACAGTGGGGTACAGTATGATCTAAAAAGAGTCATTTTGACATCGTATGGCACTAACATGTCAGAAATGTACTTTGGTGCTAGGCCATGGAGAGACTTGTACACAGGCAGAGCTGCAACCTGAGATGTCTTTGCCTGGAATGTTCCATAATGCATTAAATCCATCCATCTTATTTTGTAATTATTATTTTTTTTGCTCAAGAATAAAAAAAATTTCAGTGTCCAGATTCTCCCCGCAACTTGGCCTGAGAGTGCCACCTCCTCATTTCTATGGCGATGGATACATTTAATCCCATACTGTGGAACATTCCAGGCAAGGCGAGGACCTTCCATCGACATAGTTACATAATCCACCTTTTAAAAACTCACCAACACAATATGTGATAATGAACATGTGGTTTCTAATTTTGCAGAAATTACGAAGTCAGTCATCATTTCAGAATTTGGGACAGACCGAACTCCATCCAAAGTGCAAAAGATCTGCAACACAATGAAGCGAATCATTGAGATACCAGTGCACGGGTACACACCTACACTTCATTTTATATTTCATTTACTGTATATTTATTAATTGCTTTGTACTTACCATTCCATCTCCATATTTTTCTCTGCCACTTTGATAGAATCCGGGGCACGGGAACAGCTGCCACTAACATGTGCATGGTGGCGCGTGGAGCAGTTGAGGCCTTCTTCGAGATCGGGATCCACTGTTGGGACGTAGCAGCCGGAGCGGTCATCGTCCAAGAAGCAGGGGGCATAGTCTGCGACGTAGATGGTAGGTGTAATGTTAGAAAATGAACTTGACTGAAAAGATTTATTGTTGAATTACATATTTTAAAGGTCCTACATTACGCAAAATTGACTCTTGTGAGCTTTAAGTCATGTTAGAATGTAGTTACCCCCTCAAAAAAAAGGATGAGAAAACATAACGTAGATCAGATAGTAGCGTGACATGGGCCCTTAAATGCTTTTTTTTTTACTTTTGATTTTCGCTTTTTAGGTGGACCATTTGACCTCATGTCCAGAAGAATGATGTGTGCGAACCATCCTGATATCGCAAATCGGGTCATAAAAGAAATCGAAATTTTCCCGTCAGACAGGGACGATGCGGAGTAGAGGGCGGACCTCAAAGCGGAATGTACTGTTTTCACTGTTACTGTAATAAAATCTCATAACAAAGCCAACTCTGACTGTTTGATCACTACTTTGCACAATTGGTTCATCACATTTTTTGTTTTCATCTTACAATATGACATTTTTAATTTGCAAAAAGTGCTTGGGCAAGACACTTAACCTTGCTTTGTCATTCTACCCCAAGGCCGTTGTGGCTACAGAAATGGCAGGCAAAAATTGAATGAATAATGAATGGAGTATCTTGAAGTAAAAATGTTTAGACTATAAAAGTACAATATAAATTCAAGACAAAAATTTGAATAATGCATAATCTGGTCAGAGAAGCAAATCTACTAAAACATTCACTGTCCTCATTATACAGTATAGTGCAGATATTTTTTCAGTCTAAATATTTTGTATATTTCTATTGCAAGGTAGTTTTTTTTGTTTTATTTTACATTACTTAAAAAAAAAAATCTACAACGTATTACATTCTGCTTTTGTTCATTTGATTAGTATTTTTCGGACGATGAGTCACACTTTTTTCATGGTTTGCTTCGTCATGCGACTTATACTCTGGTGCGACTTGTATATTAAAATTTTCAGAGTGACAGCCACAAGAGGGTGCTCTAGACTTGTGTGTCAGTATCTAGTACTACTTTTACTCCTGTACCACTCTCACTACACACTCTACTGCGCATGCCTCCTGTAGAAAGAGTCACTGTCTCGCTGCAAATAGTGAAATATGCAGCCGAAAACAGTAATTGAGCAGCAGAAAGAAATTTTTATGTGAGTGAGAAACTTGTGATTGCCTGGCGGAAAACGGGGATGGAGAACACAGCTTCACAGGAACCGGGAGGGTGAGCGATGTAACTTTCCTGGAAGTCCCTGGATGAATCGACAAAGCCTGAACTTCAATGACAATCGAAACCATCCTGTCGGGAGTCAGAAAGACTGGAATAATTCTAACTGGAACTGATGCTGAGTCTGATGACAGCTACACAGAAGAGGAAGCAGCGCTCTGTTTACCTCATGAATCTATGGTTTACCTCCGGAGGTCGCACAGAAGTGACACCGTGAATTAAAAATTCAATGGATTTAGTGATCTGGAGTGAGATAGTGAGTTTGGTAAATGTATGTTGTTTATGCTATAATTATCTGAATAACTGTTAATATGTTACGTTAATATATTAACGCCTATTCAGCCTGTTGTTCTCTGTTCTATTGTTATTACTATAACTTGACTTTCAAGATGAAATGTTGGTTCCTGGTCTCTGATTTTATAAAATACATTTCCCCAAAAAGTGCGACTTATAGTCCGGTGCAACTTATATAGGTTTTTTTTCTTCTTCATTGCACATTCTTTGGCTGATGCGACTTCTACTCCGGAGTGATTTATAGTCTTGAAAATATAGTAATTTTCAGTATTTGATTGGTTAATAAGCCTGCCATTACAAGAGACCTCTGCTCCCATACTTTTAAGCTGTCAATAATGAATGAATTGTTCCATTTTAAACAGAAAAAAGAGAGTTCTTACATCCATTGATTTGTAGATGGTGCATTTTGTCCAATCCATTACATTCTATTCATATTTCTATTATATCTTCTTAGCGTTATGTAAAAATCCTATCTTCTACATCTTCTACACAAAGCCCTTACAAATTACAGAAGTCAAATCAATCCTTTCCTGCTCCTTTAACTTGTGTGCTTTTAATTGCCAGATAGAGTCATATTCCCATTAGCAGCAACATTATTGTCAAGTACATTATGATGTACTTGCACTTAGCATTAGCCTGTTCCTTCTGCCACTTTATTTCTACATTCAAGCTGTTTACAGTAGTTATTGGTGTCGTTTCAAAGGCTGCCAGTAGAGGTCAGTAATGCTCAACTGTTAGAGACCACCTTGGCTACAGTTTCAGATACTGCACACTTAAAATGATCAAATTTAAAAATAAAGTTTGAGGATTTCTTTATGGGTTTAAAGTGTGCACGGCAAGTTAGACTACTTATTTAACTGAAACAAAGTTAACTTCATTATACTGATTTAACTAAAAACTTAGTGATCTTTTTTCTTTTGGTGATGTTTATCATTTTATTTCCTGGTCGGATATTAGGGTTCTGCAAATCAATCCCAAATATTGGTAGGTATTGATGTCAAAATGAGTATTGGTATTGTGTCGATGCTCAAGTTTGCACCATTTAAAAGTCATTTAGTGCATCTATTAAACATATTTTTATACTATTTTATTATTATTTTTCAATTTTTATACCAAATTAATTTGTATCAATATTGCAGTGCTGCTCTCAGTATTGATCAGTATCAGATCAATACTAATATTTCAAGTACGGCACAGCTCTAATCGGACAAAGGAAACAGATATGACATACAAATATAGAGGTAATTCTATAACTGTTGTCTATGAAAATGTTAACAAAGGGCAAAACTTATCCAAATTGCAAAATAATTATGCTTAGACTAATTGAAATAAATGACAACACCTTCATTTTTATTAAAAGAAGGTTTGCCTGAAAAAAAAAAAAAAAAAACTTGCATGTGAATTGTCTCTGCAGTTGGATACATAAATAGAAGTATTCCGATTTAGAACTCACATCTTTGTACTTTTCAACTTTTTTCCATAAACTGCCACTCACCTGATGTACAATTGTAATAAATATTTACTACTAGCCATGGGATCCAGAATACACACTTCTTCAATACTTCAATACCAAGTGACACTCCCTGTTTTCAAATGGCCGTGATTGACAGGAGAATTAGCCGATCAGTGACTTGCATGGTTCATCCGTATCGAAACAAATATGGCTGCTTACAAGGAATAAGGAGGGAAAAAATGTCACAAGCTTGGATCTATAATAAAAAGTGGATAAGGCTTTCCCACTCTTTCCCGGCTTGAGACTGACTAGTAGCTTGCATTGGTATTGCAACTCTAGGGAGCTTGAGCCCAGAAAGAATTCTCCCGTAGAGCGCAACGCATTTTTTTGGACTTCAAACTGCCCGTGTTTGGCTGATAGGGCATCGACAACTTTCACACAGGTCATATTTTGTAGGGATTCTTTTCTATTTTCACAACATTCACTCTTTTTGTCCAATAAGATTCATTTGTTCTTCTGATAATTTATGTTATTAAGTTATTTTTCTGTTTTCAGACCTGACACTCTGAGGAAGACCGTTAGTGAGCAGGCATGTCAGGCATGAAAACAAACTCTTGGTCTGAAAAAAGAACCTAATAACAACTTTTTAAATTTTTTAAATCCTCAAAGAGCCTAAAACTTACCTCTCTGAGCCCCACTAACTCTGCTCTAGCAGCTCTTACTCCAGGGTAGCCGAGGGTCTTAAAAGTCTTCAAAAGGTCTTCAATTTCATGTTCCTAAATGAAGGCCTTAAAAAGTCTTACATTATGTTGTCTAGGTTTTATTTTCTTCATAAAGATCTTCAATTTCATTAGCCTATTTTTTTGTATACTTAATTGGGCTGCAGTGCAATGTTAAATGGAGGGAGGAAAAAAAAAAACAACGGCAATGAACATCTAATTAGGAGTATGTGCAAACAATACTTTGGTTTAGTTTGTCTTGTTAGAATGTTTTAAATGAATTTTTGGCCATTTTACAAGCAACACATACTACTATAAATGAGTTATGAATGAGATTTTATAATGAAAGTATTTTTTGTTATTTAAATCAGTGAGTAATGGTCATTATTAGAATTGGATCTGGTGTTTTCGCTCGCATAATGGGTGCAATGTTGGTCTTAATTCTCATGTAAGTGGTCTTAAAAAGGTCTTTAAAAGGTCTTAAATTTGGGGTAGTCAAACCTGGGGATACCCTGCACTCTGATTGGTCCAAATGCTCCACGCTGTGCACGTTACAGACGCCATGTGGGTGGGAGGAGCTCGCCCGTATTGAGGAAGTAATGGGGAAGACAAAATTATTTTTGGGCCCATGCGCCAATAAGCACAGGCCACTGAAAACAGATTTAATAATTATAATTCCATGGTCACAAGGGGTTGAAAAACATCATAGATTTCTACAGCATAAGTGAGTGAAGTATTAAACAAAAAAAGTTGAGCTGAGGTGAGAGAAATGTCACTTTGTATGTAAATGAGAGGTGACCAATGACCTCCTTTGTTTCACGGCCATGTGCACAGTGTACAGAGCAGGCACATATGTTTCGGTGTCCAGTGGCTTTGCAAGGGACCTCAAAGCTCACCAGGACACCGAAAAACATTAAAAAAGCTTTGCCAGGTGAGAGTAGCTCAATGTCGATGATGAGGCCCCACCTCCCACCTCCCGTACGGTGTCCTGGTTTCAACAAACGCAAATATGGTCACCCTAAAAACCATAACCACTGATTTGACCCAGTTTTATACAATAAATGTCCCTGGTGTCCCTATTTTTACCAGTTTGATACTTGCCAACAGTAAAGAGAGACATAAAGTGTAATTTGTTTGGGTAAAATACAGAAAAGCTGCTTAAAAATGGCCAAAACACAAAGAAAATGTGACTATACTAATTCACCTGTTAGTCATGAACAGTGTTGGGAAGGTTACTTTTAAAATGTATTCCCCGACAGATTACAGATTACATACACCAAAATGTAGTTTGTAACATAATCCATTAAATTACTTAAAGTGAGTAACGTAATCTGAATACTTTGGATTACTTGATATTGTCGTGCTTTTTAAAACTACATGAATGTACCAACCACATCCTGAAAATTCATGTTTATTCTCTTCAAATTGGCCCAAATTGGTGTAGTCCTGGTTTAATCCTGGTTTAGATCTGGTTTAGATCTGGTTTAGACCTGTTTTAGGCCTGGTTTAGACCTGGTTTAGTCCTGGTTTAGACCTGGTTTAGTCCTGGTTTAGTCCTGGTTTAGACCTGGTTTAGATCTGGTTTAGACCTGGTTTAGACCTGGTTTAGATCTGGTTTAGACCTGGTTTAGATCTGGTTTAGACCTGGTTTAGACCTGGTTTAGACCTGGTTTAGACCTGGTTTAGATCTGGTTTAGACCTGGTGTAGTCATGGTTTAGACCTGGTTTAGTCCTGGTTTAGA